CGAATGATTGCACTCGCTTCTTTTTTCCTTGTGTCATCGGGTTCAGGCTTGCATGTCTACTGGCTCTTTGCCGGTCTGCGTCTGTGGTCAGTCTATCTTTCTGAGCGGTGCTGTTATTGCATACATGGAGCTTCGGCTGCGTATAATACTAGCATATAACATTTGATTATCGGTGTTTTGCGAGTGTGCCTGGTCATTGTAGATGAGTTGTAAGTCTGTCTGTCAAAGGAATGTCAAGCGTAGTCGACCTGTATGATTTCCCATGTACCGTCTTTCTACACTATAAATGCCTGGAAGCTCGCCATCTCAACCAAAATCTCGAGCTCTCTCAGCTTCAGCCTTATCCACACCTACAGAGAGAAGAAATCTCACTTCAGCAACCTGCGCTGCTCATCCTCCAAGATCTCCGGCAGCGTCGCCTCCAGACTCGGCCGCGAAGGCGTCCACCCCAGCACCTTGGCCGCCCTCCTCGCCCTCCCCCGCGAGTTCAGCCCCCAGCTCAGCGACTCAAACCCAGCGAACTTCTTCCCCTCCTCCAAGCTGATCTGCTCCGCCCTCGACTGCCCGATCAGGCCCAGCTCAGCTGCATACTTGGCGATCGCCCGCGACAGCTCCCCCCAAACATGCTCGCCATTCTCGGCGAGGTAGTAGGCGCGCGCGCCCCAGCGCTCGCGGTCGTTGGCGTCGTCGGCGTTGCTGCCATCGCGCTGACGACCCTCTCTTTCAGCCACGGCCGCCTCGACCAGCAAGACATACAGATCGCTGAGATCGTGCACGTGCACATTGTTCCAGATGGATTTGCCCGCGCCGATGATGGGCGCTTTCTGGAGCTCGAGCGTCACGCGCGCCAGCTCGTAGACTTGCCGGCCGCGGCGGGAGGAGGGGCCTCTCCCTCTTCCTGTTCGGTGTTGTCAACAGCAGTTTCCAGCCAGATACACACATCGTGTTAGAGCTAACGCTGAAGGTGCAAGAGATGAGAGCTGGGGGGCCGTGGCCCGTGGGGCCCGTGGGGACATACCGTAGATGGTCGGCGGACACACCAGCGCCGTCCGAACGACCTCCCCCCGTTTCGCCCCCGTCTCCAGCACGATCTCGTCCACGTTCCGGTGGAACGCATGCGCCGGCAAGCTCAGCAGCTCGTCCACCCCGTCCCAGTCGTCGTACACCTTGTCGCTGGCCTCGCCGAACACGTCCCGGTCCGTGTCCGCGTACGTCAGGATCCCCGTCCCGCCCGTGTGCAGCCAGTACCCCGGCTTCACGGGGGTGTGGCCCCTGGCCAGGCCGGCGGCGATGGCCTTGGCTGCGTCCGCGTGGTCCGAGGCGTCGGCTGTGTCTGTTTTCCTATTCTGTTAGCTTGAGGGGACTGGTTGGTTGGTTCGTCTTCCGCTGTAGGCGTAGCGTAGCAAGACGGGAGCCCTGGGCTGGGGATATCGGAGATAGGTGAATGGGGTAAGGGGATGGGCAAACTTACGGAGAACAATATCGGCGTCGGCGCTCTCCTTCTCCAACAGCGCGGAGTTGTCGAGGTCGCCGATGACTACCCGCGCGGAGGGGTATTGCTCCTGCACGGCTTGGGCTTTCTCGGCGCTGCGGACTAGCACGGTGTATTGATACTCCGGGTGCTTCTGGACGAGGGCGTAGAGGGCGTCGCCGCCGATGTAGCCGGTTGCGCCGGTGCTGGTGGGGGTTTGGTTAGTTGAAGTTGGGGGTTTTAACTAATGGGGGTGGTGGTGGACTTGCATGAAGATCTTGGGGAGGTGGGTCATCTTTGGCTGCTTTGTGGTATGTGTATTTGTATGTGTATATATGCTGTAATCAATGGTTGTGTTTGAGAGTTTATGTTTGGCATGAATGAGGCCTTGATATAGTATGTAGGCGGAGATGATAGGCCCATGACGTGATGGTTGTTCTACAGTGCTGATTAATAATGCATCTTGAGGTTGAGGCCTGAGGCTTGCCGCAGGTGTGAAAGGGTTGGTGCTTGATATGGCAATCTCGGCCGACGGCGGTTACCGCCGACAAACTGACTGGGTTTAGATTCCGCAATGCACTGCATCTGCATGCATCCTCATTCCTCATTCTTCTTGTCTGCTTGGATCCTGTACTTGACAGTCACTCAAACCCCAAAAGTGGAAGACAGGCATGCTTGCTGACGGTGCTCATGCTAGGGGTCTCAGGACTCTAACTCACTTAAAGCTTTGGACTCACTTAAGGCCTGTGGGACACTGATCGACCACCATGGCACGACCCTCGAGGCAACGCAACCCTCAGCATCGAGAGAATCTTGGCAGCAGAGACAAGCAACGTCAGCCAATGGTGTTTCCGTTGTGCAGCTGCTCCCCCACTCGCTGCCCGATTCCTATTTGACAGCTGGGGGTTATGTCCGACCCCAGCTCCATCCGCTCGGGGTGTGGGCCGTTTTTTGCGTCCGATCTCCGCTCGCGGGATGAAGTTTTACCCTCTTGACGGGGACAATGCTGCGGATTTGTGCGTTTTTGCAGGGCAATGGTACTTATCCCTAAGGAATTCCTGCGTCTGATGATTTAATGCGACGTGAGGGACACACGAAGGGTCAATCGGCTGGGGATCTCCACGACGCTTTGGTTTGCCCTTGATAACGGGCTATACTCCTTGACCAATCCCTCAAAGTCACCATGAGCAGCACGCTCAATATCTCCGCGGCCGAGTTTTACGTACTGGGCCGCAGATAAGGCATGCTTCGATATTGAAAACCTGTGACTCGTCGGGCTCGGCTCCGGTCGACAGCTGCCCCTCAGGTCTACATAAAGCGGGGTGCTGTTCCCCACGTCTATCATTTTTTTCTCTCTCGTCCTTCTGGCCACTTGTAAACTTGGACAAACAAAGATGGCGACGGAACAGGTCCTGCCGGTGACTCGTGAGCGTAACATCGAGGCCCAGAGTGCCTTTGCCTCCACTCTGGTGGCCGATGTCGAGAAAGCGCCTCACCCCAAGGAGTCTCCTTCGGACAGACCGCACACCAATGTCTACGGATCGACGATCGACACCCCGACTTCCCAGGCGGGAACGGACGCGGTTTATGCGGCCAAGGCGGCGCTCTTGAATCAAGCCTTGTTGGACATGGGCATGGGCCTGTACCAGTGGTTGCTCTTTGTGATCACTAGTGTCGGATGGTTTCTGGATAGTGTATGTTGGAACTTAAACCATACGTGAGAATCATGAAGGGTGCTAACGTTTTAGTTCTGGCTGATGTCGTTCTTCATTATAGCCCCGTCCGCCGCCAACGAGGCGCAATTCTTCTACTCGTACAACAAGGAGGCTTATCTGTTTATCAGCTTGTTTGTTGGCATCACCACCGGTGCGACGGCCTGGCCCTGGATGTCCGACTTCCTGGGCCGCAAGTGGATCTTCACCAGCACCGTCGTCCTCATGGGCATGGGAGGACTGGTGGGAGCCGGAATGCCCGCCTTCACGGGTCTTTGTGTGGTGGGATTCGTTGTGGGCTTTGCGGTGGCTGGAAACCAAGTTGTGGATGCGATGATCCTGCTGGAGTCGGTTCCTGCCTCGCACCAGTTCTTGGTCACCATCCAAGGTGCTTTCTGGGGACTGGGACAGCTTGTGGCGTCAGCTGTTGGCTGGTGAGTGTGCTCCTGTCTCGGTTGAAGACTGGTCTAACCGAGCATAGGGCGTTCATCGCGGAGTACACATGCGGCACTGGTCCCGACGAGGTCAGCACGGCGACAGCACTCTCCCACCAATCCCGCGCCACAGGATCCGGTAGCGGTGGGGGCGGCAGCAGCAGCAGCAGCAGCAGCTCCTGCCACTATGTCAGCAACAAGGGATGGCGATACGTGTGGTGGACCTTCGGCTGCATGACCCTGTTCCTGTACCTCTGCCGCTTCGCCTTCCCCCTCCGCGAGACGCCCAAATACCTGCTCTCGAAACGCCGGGACGCCGAAGCGACGCAGCTGGTCAAGGACATGGCCGCCTACAACAAGCGGCGCACCTGGTTGGACGAGTCGTCCTTCGCGCGCATCGACTCGACCGTGGACGCCAGCACGCCCGGGTCGCGTCGACCATCCCGCCTCAAGGCGCTGCTGTCATTCGCCGGCCCTCTCTGCTTTGCCGCGCTGTGCCTCCTCTGGTCCGTCACGGGGCTGACCTTCATCCTCCACAAGACCTACATCAGCACGTACCTCGTCACCAAGGGCGTGGCCTCGGTCACCGCCACCACCGTGACCACGGACTATCTGTACAGCCGGTACCTGTACGTGGCCATCTGCGCTATCCCTGGCCCGATCATCGCTGGCTTTCTGATCGAGGCCAAGGGTCTCGGACGCAAGCGCACGGGGGCTGTGCTTGCGGTGCTAACGGGGCTGTTCATGTTCCTGGCGACGGTGTCGCGATCCCGCGACGCGCTCTTGGCGTTCGAATGCATCCTGTCGTTCCTGGGGGCTGCCAACCTGGCCGTGCTCACCACGTACACGGTGGAGCTGTTCGCCGCGCCCTTCCGCGGCTTCGGTTTGGGTGTGATGGGTTTCCTGTGCGGGTTGTTCGGGCTGATCGCGTCGGTCGTGACGACGTTCGAGAGCGGTGCTGCCGGCGGCGCGGCGGTGTGGTTCTCCGGTGCGATCTGGGTGGTGATGGGTGCGGCTTGGATGGGCGTACCCGAGACCAAGGGTCGTGCTGCTGCTTAGTCTGGGGAAACGTAGGAAAGAAGAGTAAAATGGGTGGGCGTTAGCCTATGATGGCATGGATGGTATACGAAGTATGAAATATGAAGTATGAAGTATGTGTGCTGTATGTATCAGTTTATCCTTCCGTAATTCAGTTTCCCATGAAATCCTGTCCACGATACCGATATCCCACACTCTGTATGTACACTTGCAGTCTATCCTGATGAGCATATCCAATACCGAAACCACCAACAAGCCCAAATAGCCACTCTCTCCTCTAATCGGATAAACAGCACGTACACATCTAACCAACCCCCCAGCCCCCCTCTTCCAAAATATTAAAATCTATCCCCGCCAGACCATAAACCAATTCCTCTCCCCCCCCTCCTCAACAACGACCTCCCCCTCCGAAACCCTCACAAACCCCCGCTTCACATACAGCGGCCGCCCCTCCCGCGACGCACACAGGTAGATCTGCCTCCCTTCGGCGCGCGCGCGCTCAATGCCCCACGCCAGCAGCCGGGATCCCAGCCCTTGGGACCGGTATGCGGGATTGGTGCCGAGGATGCTGAGGTCTAGCGTCGTTGTTAGTATGAGCTCGTCGCCCAGAGAAGGTGTACTCCGGGGTATTTCCCGTGTATAGTAACGAAATGAAAGGGAGGGGAACGTACGATAATACCCGCCCTCGACGCCGCGCATGTCCTCCTCGCGGTGGCGGGTGGTTTGTGCGCGGAGGCGGAGCAGGAGGTCTTTGTCGGAGGGGGAGAGGTTGGGTGGGAGGGTGGGGTCGGGGTTGGGGTCTTGCGGTTGAGTTGAGGGGGTGGGTTGAGACGGATCTTGATCTTGACTTTGAACTGGGGCAGAAGAGGCAGGCGCAGGCGCAGGCGCAGGCGCAGGGGAAGAGGAAGCGGAGGGAAGCTCCCACTCCGCGAAGGCGACGATTCTGCCTCTCCCTTTCCCTTGCATGCTCTCTTTCTCCACGCCTGGATCCGCGTCCGCATCTCTAGCTGCTGAACTAGGTCCCGTTGCATCGTCACTGGCCGCATAGCTCCCTGTCTCGCTATCGCTTCCGGCTGCGGAGCTATCACTCCCATTCTCCTCAGGGGTACTACCGATCGCCGCAGGAAGCGGCTCCGCCGCATAATCCACCATCTTGAGCACCACGCTCCGGCCGCTTGCGATCTTCCGGCGGAGGTTGGCGGTCCACCACGCGTGCATCTCCGGGGTCGGGGGGAAGACGCGCCGGTGGGCCGCGTTGGTGAAGCAGGTGAAGTACAGGGTGGCGAGGGCGGGGGCGTCGGCTTCGGTGGCTGTTTCGAGATGCATGGTGCTGCCGGTGGGCTGGTCGGATTTCTGCATGTGTGATGGATTGGGTGGGGTGGTGGGTTGGTGGGTTGGTCAAGAGGTGAGTTTGTATTGGGGGTGGATGGATGGAGTGTGGTTTTCTCGGATGGTTTGAGGAGGGATTGTTGTGGTTGGGGTTGAGGTTGAGGTTTGGTCGCGGATTTATACTTCAGACTCAGGGGATTCTTTCTTTGTGGGTGAAGCTAGGCACCAGTCTTTCCTTTGTGTTTATTAGTAGATGGTGTTGTGATAAGTGCTCAGACAACCCTATACTCCGTTCTGTGCTGGGCTTGCAACCTTCGGAGTAGATACTCCTATCAGAGGCAAGAATCAGCTCCGACGGCAAGGGACCAGTTCCGTGGATCGGGGTAATCACGAGTGACTAGACTCTAGACTCGATCGGGATTGCCATTGACACTTAGTAAGTTCCAGTTTCGATCGAAAGATGATTAGAGATTAGATAATGCATACTCAAATTAGCACAAGTCATTACTATCAGTCATACTAAGCATCGTAATGCAGCCAGCAGTCACCGTTGCAGTCACAATCACAGTCACAGTCACGGTTTGCCCTCCGTCGGCGCCGGACTCCGAACCCTCTCCACTACATACGATTCATTGGGATACGGGGAGTGTGGTTGCGGTGACGGATACATCGGACCCTGTTGCTGTTGCTGCTGCACCTGCTGCACCTGCTGCGGTTGTTGCTGTTGCTGTCTATGCTGCGGATAGAACATCCGGCGGTTTGGGCCTCCCTCGCGCGGCGCCGCCCGATTCTCCGTGCTCTTCGTCTGGTCGATCTCGCGCTTCACCCCCTCGTACATGTACTCGATGATGTGGATCTCCTGCTGGATGTCCAGCTCGCAGCCACTCAAGCAAAGCTCGCGCTCGCGCTGCTCGATGTACTCGCGGATGTTGCGCCACTCGTTCTGGTAGTGTTTCAGCCGGTCGGGCAACCCAGAGCCCTTGAGGTACGTGAGCACCCCCGCCATGATTGTGTTGATCGCCCCGAACGCCGTCACCGCCGAGTGCGGCCCGCTCGCGGCGCCCAGCGCCGTCAGGGCTGCTGCCACCACGATCTGGATCCCCAGGCACACGTTGATCAAGACACTAAAGAACCGGTATCGCCGCCCCGCCGAGTGCTCCGCCTTGACGACGCGCGTGTAGATGCCGATATTGGGCGCCGTGCGGCGGTAGTGCTGGAGCGTCGTTAGCGCGGGAATGCTGTCGATCCCCGTCAACGCGCGGAAGACGAGCAATTTGTCCTGCGGCGGAATGAGGGATCCGACGTCGGTGGTGGAGATGGTCAGTTGGCGGGGTTGTTGTGGTTGCTGTGGGTGGTAGGGGTGGTGGTGCTGTTGTGGTTGCTGCTGCTGCTGCTGCGGCGGCGACGGCGGCGGCGGGACAGGAGGTGGCATTGCGGCGGCGCCCATTGCCTCTAAATCTCCGCCCGGCAGCATCCCAGGCGCCGCCGGGGGGAAAACCCCCGGTGAGGTCATTGGGGGAAAATGATGCTGCTCATTTTGCTCGCGTTGTGCACGAGGCAACAAATTCATAAAACGTCCAACAAAACCGGAGCGTGGATGTTGCGCCATCGTGGCGGGTGGAAAAGGGCGGGATGAACCTCCCGAAAAACACAAAAAACTTCAAAGCCCTCGCTCCAAAGGGGGAGACCGGCCCGTTTTAAGGAGCTCTGGGGAAGGGTGGATATCCCCCCTTGGGAGGTTTAATTATTACACATCCAGCCCGGCGCACCTGATGGACGCCACCCCTTTCTGCAAATGGCGCTACTCCCGTGGTGTTCGTGCGCATGGCAGTGCAAGATAGAGAAGCCGGCTGGCCCTTCATTGGTGCTTGACGGCGTGCAAGACCTGCAGCGTCGAGGCAATTTAAGCGGCCGGCTGGACCCTTGACCCACATGGATCGACAAGCAGCAGTTCGGCACGAAATGAGGGGATTGCGTGCGGTTTTCGAGTTCAGCGCGCTCAGTTCGGCAAATTTGACCCAATTGTGAGCTACCTCGTGATGGAAGGAGAGTTCAAATGTTTGAGGGTGACAAGGCTTTGTTGGTCGCTGCAGGAGGATGTGATAGTGGCGAGCTGAACGTGTTCTTGCCGGGGCCGTCATGAAGTTACGCAGTCTGCAGCGCAGTAGCTTGAACGAAGCTGATTAGCCCGTCGACCACACGAGAGAATCACAATGAGTTTGTGGGGGTAAGGGGGGAATTGACAGATGACTCGCGATACGGACCTAGACTCGACAGTCTGGAGCAGGCTTCGCGCTAGCAAGGATTTTTCGGCCATGGCCGCCGTATCGATCACTCCAAAAGAGACGGCCACTGTCCGAGTCTCCGAGACAACGATCAGCCACGGGGCGGGCTGGAGCTCACGGCCCCATTCTGCAAGCACTAAGCCGGGTGAACCACGGATAGGCGCCTGTCAGATTGGAGGATGGGAAGTCCAAGCGATTCGACGATTCGAGGGAGTGAAGTGTGCTGTCCGCCGTCGATCCCACTTTCGTGAACAGGTCATGAACCAGTCTTTAAGCGACGTACTTCTGTCATGTTTGTTGTGGTGGCACCGTTAACCGGAAGTTGGCGGGACGGCATGTTTCGACACTGGAAGAATAGATTAATTGATGACCCGCCTCCGATCGGCAATTGTAAGTTGTGACTGACCTAAAGATTAATCTCCATCGCAACATCAACATCTCCCATGATGCCAGCGGAGTCTCACAAGAGTAAAGCACATGTATGGTAAGTGAGAGCGACCGAGCAGCGCAAGAGAAAGAAGATACAAAGTAGCGAGCCAAGAACGATCGAGCGATAAGAGAAGAAAGACGCCGGCGGGCTTAGTTATCAGTTATCTCGACCGTTCCCCGCGCTTAGTAATCTCCCCCTCTCCCCCGGGACTCTGGTCTATCAAGCATACCGAAAATCGTCGCAATTGCCGGCGATAAGGGAAAAAGGGAAAAAGCGCCAGAAACCGAGTCAATGGCGCAATCTAACCCCCTCACGTCCACTCTTGCATTGACGCTCGACACTTTCGGGATCCCTTCATGTCTACTACACACTCACAATCGCAATTCACCATGGGAGACGCACCTCTAGCCCAAGACCGGATCCTCATCACCAACGCCGGCGACTTCTCGCCCGCTCTCCTCGAGGAGATCCAGGCCAAGTTCGCCCACGCGGATATCACCTATCTGAAGCTTGAGAACTTCGCCCCAATCCCCAGCGGTATGCTTGCTGTTTTCTTCGGAGGAATTTTTCGAAGATCGAGACTTTTATTATGCGAAATACTGACCCCCCTCCCCCCCCACCTCGCAGAATACGCCCAAAGAGCCACCCATATCGTGACGTTCAGCAACCTCCCCAACGTCGAAGATGTGCGCAAGTACGTGGCTCTCCGTTATCCTTATCACTTCGACATTCCCCAAGACCCTCAAAACTAAACGTCAGTAACAGCGTCAAGCTCATCCACTTCTTCTCCGCCGGCCTCGACCACATCATGACGCACCCGATCGTCCAGACCACCACAATCCCACTGACGTCCAGCTCTGGGATCCACGGGCCCCCGATCGCCGAGTGGGTGATCATGAACTGGCTCGTGGCCTCGCGGCGGTTCGTGAACATCTACAAGAGCCAGGAGCGCCACCACTGGGGCAAGTACGGGGAGTGGATGAGCGGGGTCCACGACCAGGTCGGCCGGAAGGTCGGGATTCTGGGGTACGGGAGTATCGGGCGGCAGAGTACGTTTCCCCCCTTCACACAAAAACCCACCTCCCCGACTTTAGCGGGAGGTCTATATAGCCGATGGCTAGCTAATTGTGGGCGCAAAAGTCGGCCGCGTCGCCTCCGCCCTCGGCATGCAGGTGCACGCCTACACGGCCTCCCCACGACCGACGCCCGCCTCCCGCGTCGATACGGGGTACATCGTGCCCGGCACGGGGGACCGCGAGGGCACGATCCCCGTCTCGTGGCATCACGGCACGGATCGGGCGTCGATCCACGCCTTCCTGGCGCTGGGGCTGGACCACCTCGTCGTCGCGCTGCCGCTGACCCCGCAGACGACGCATCTGCTGGGCGCGGCCGAGTTCCGGCTGCTGGCGGCGCATGCCTCGAATAAACCCTTCGTCACGAACATCGCCCGCGGCAAGATCGTCGACCAGACCGCGTTGGTGGCCGCGCTGCGCGAGGGCGTCCTCGGCGGCGCCGCGCTGGACGTCACGGACCCCGAGCCCTTGCCCGCCGACGATCCGCTGTGGGAGGCGCCGAACGTGCAGATCAGTCCGCATATCAGCGGCGCTGGGCTGGAGTATATCCCGCGGTCGTTGGATATCCTGAAGGAGAATCTGGGGCGGCTGGCGCGCGGGGAGGGGGTTTTGAATGAGTATAAACGCGGGAAGGGGTATTGAACATTCCCGTTTCTAACGGAAATCCAGTTAGTTCCAAGACGGGGAGGTTATGTGGAGGATTTTTCTCCTGCGATTCAATTAAGATATAAAGAATAGATTACATGATCGTTGCCGTTGTACAGAGTATATCGAAATAAACACACATGAGGGAAGAAGAAAGAAACCTATTTCGTGAGCAAGCCACGAAGGCCCTCCTCGACGACAACACCCACGACCCCGAAGCCGACGACCGCCCACGTCCACGGGTTGACGATCTCCTTGAACCCGGGCCAGAAGCTGTTCTTCTTGGTCTTCCACTCCTGGAGCTGGTCGTACTTGTGCAGGTCCTCGGTCTTGTAGCGCTCCTCCTGGCTGGCCTCGGTCATCTTGTCGCCGCCGATGAAGCGCAGGAAGACGTAGTTGGTCAGGGGGCCCAGGATGACGAGCGGGTTGAAGTTGGTGGCGCAGTTGATGAAGGCGAAGCCCAGATGCACGAGGGTGTCGCCGAGGTAGCTGCCGCAAAAAGCCATGGTTAGCCGGTGGCCTTTCTCCTCCTCATCTATACAAACAAGAATTGCAACTGGGGCTGGGGACCGGGAACACATACTTGGGATGTCTAACGATGCTCCACACGCCGGTGCGGCACAGGTCGGGCCTCTCGGCGCGGTGCGCCTCCATCTGCCCGTCGGCCAGGACCTCGAGCGCGAACCCGGCGCCGAACAGCCCCACGCCGAAGGCGCGCAGCGCGGCCTGCACGTCCGCGTCCAACGCGACGCTGGGGCTCGTCAGCCGGAAGGGCAGGGTGAAGGGCAAGCTGATCAGCGTCAGCAGCGCGGCCTCGGGCAGGTACTGCTTCCAGAGCATCTCCTTCCAGAAGCCGACGGGGTTCTGCTTCTTGAGCTGCACGTAGCGCGCGTCGTCGGCGCCGCGGCGCAGGGTGCGCGAGGCGATGCGCGCGAACAGCCGCGTGCCCCAGGCGGTCACGAGCGACAGGAGGGTCTTGTCAGTCCACGAGAGGGCGCGCCAGGCCGTTTGCGGGGAGACGTTGTTGTAGAACACCTGGTGGCCCACGGCGCTCCACCAGGCGTTGATCACCTGGCTGGCTGGCCAGTTCCAGTCCTTGAGCTCGGCTTTGTCGGTCGCGCGCGACGCCGCCCACGCCGCCAGGTCGAGGGTCGTGTGCAGCGCGAACGAGGGGAGGATGGTCGAGCGCAGGATGCCCAGCTCGCCCGTGGCGAGGCCGGGGCTGCGGAGACGGTCCGCCTGCGCTAGCGGCGAACCTGACCCCGTGAGATTCATGGTCGCGGTTGTTGTGGTTGTATTAGAGATTTGGTCTGAGCGAAGAGAAAAAAGGATTCGCGTGAATCTGGGGGAGGGAGTTGGTTATAAATGAAGTCTGGGGTACGCTGTTGATGTCAGTATTATGTAACGTGGTGATGACGTCGTACTGTCACTTTCTTGCTCGTCCCGAATTGGCCAATGCCAGGCTTGGAGCTCGGCAGTACAACTTGGAAGCTTGATCCGCAGGCATGTATGTGTGTGTGTAATTAAATGAAATAATTTCTATTGCAAATTAAAGCGCAATATAAGCAGCCAGCTGCAAGGAAATGTGAAACATGAGCTAATTATGCGTGTGTGACAATGCTGGTATAGGTAATGCTGTATAAGTATGCTTGGCGATCATTAGATCATTGAGACGGAGATGGAAAGTTGAAATGCAATGGAAGAACATTCGGTTGTGCTTCTTTATATCTGGCTCGTATCAATTCATGTAAACGCTGGGTCCATAGATCAATTGGGGAGTCGGTCGCGAAAATATTCGACGTGTCAGTCCCATTCACGGGTTCCGTGTATAAGGGTTCTGGGCTCATTCCTTTAGCTAGTTTCAAGAGCAGTGAGACGTCTGTCGATACTGTCACACCCGTATCAAAAAGCGCGTGCTCCTCTGGGATATTCTCAAATGGCAGCTTGTTAGTGCTGATTCGCTTGGGTTTCGACGTCCCGTCCGAGGTCGCGTTCTGCGCGCCGTAGCGTATCAGGTGTGACCTCGGATCATGTGGAGACAGCACAGGTCTGTTTGTCTGCTCCAGCTCGACCATATCATGAGGATGGCCGGTCGCTGGATTGGAGCTGAGAGCAGCTCGCGCATTGAGGTATCGGTTCAGGTGCGGTGAGCGGGGGGTGGACGTGGCCTGACTGCTCTGGAGCTGTTTACGCCGCTCCTGTATGGCATCGCGCTTCCGGCGTTCGAAGTCCAGTGCTTTCTCAAGTTCGTTTTGACTGTCCCTGGACAGTTGATGAAGCCTCGAGGACCATCGTTCGAGGACTGGAAGTCCGCGGTGATTGCCCTGGATCTCCTCATCTTCAGTTGCTGAGGGTGAGCGATCCAGGGGCTGCGACATCGCGGTCGCCGCCGTGGGGCCGTCAGGTACATCGTCGGCGGGGGTTTGGGGTTCCTGGAAGGTTGCACTGGACACTTCGAAACGCTGGGCTGCTAAGTTCGCCAAAGAAGGCTCCTCTGCTTCCTCACGCGGCTGCTCTGAGGACTCTAGTCGGGACATCGCCACTTGCGTAGTTTTTCCGAACCAGGTGTCAAGCGATCCGTTTCCGTAACGCTCTCTGTCGCGATCCCGCATTGCACGTTTCACACTTTCGTGAGTAATGTGCTCTTGGGGACTGCGCGAAGCCTGTAGTCTAATGGGGGAAATCTGAGCTCGTGACGGAGAGATGGACAGCGTGCTCGTGCTCGATGCGGACGGACTCGGGAGAAGCGACTTTGGTGAATGAGCAGATCGCGACTCTAATGAGTTTCTGCGACTCTCTGCAAAATTGTCGCCGACGACTTCGTAGGTTGACTGAGTATGTGGCAAGGTCCGAGAAGACCCGCTGGGTATATTCAACTTTGTGAAAGACCATGGGTTCAGCGCTTCCAGGCGCTTCCGTCTTATGTTGTTCAAATCGGACGTATGGGATGCATCGGTAGACGGTGGCGTGGCCTTCAGCATTGAATGTGCTGACATGAACCCCGGCGGGTGACTGCTCGTTGTTGTACTCTGCGTAGCCTCGATCGAGTCCTTGCGAGCCAAAAGCAAGTCAAACCCATTCGACTCTCTGACCGGCGCTTTTCCCTTTTGCAAAGAGCGTGGCTGCTCGGTGGTTTCAGTTTGTCCTCCGTAGATGCCGCGAAGCAAGTCCTCCACGGTGGAAAGCAGCTCCTGCGGGTCTTCAAGCAAGACATCATCCTTCGCAGGCTCGATGTTGACATCATACGTCGCTTCCTGACAGCGAATATGTAGGCACAGAAACGGGTCGGTAATGTTCGATGAGCCCTGCTGACGACTCACCGCGTGTTTTATATAAGCCTTAAATAACTTCGCAATGTATTGGCCGAGACCTCTCGCAGCCGACAGCGGTCTACCATCAATGCTGATGTATTGGCCCAAGTTGCTGGTTCGCGCAATATCTGACACAAGTCAGTCAAAACTCCGAATATAGTCTACGGAACACATACCAAGCTCTGGGTCCGGGAGAAGTGCGGTCAAGTGATAGTGCCGTCCGGTCTCTTTCTCCATGCCAGAGGGAGGATCATCTCCCCGTTCCCTCACAACACAGTTCGAGGCAACGTCCTTACCCACCACCTTGAAGGCGGCGTCCGAGAGAGTTGCATCCTTGCCTGGCGCGTACATCCAGTTGCTGCTCTCGTTCTTCGCCCTCAGTACTTTGAGGGACAGCCGCTTCGCCGGCTGCGCCAAGGCATAGGCCTGGACCAGCTTCTTGATGCGGACCAGCGTCTTGGCGGCGTTCTTCGAGGCCGTCTGCCGTCGCACGGGTATGTGCTTGAAGAGATCCGCAATGCGAACGGCCGTTCCCACCGGGTGCGCCGCGCGCTGCGTACTGCCGGCGGATTTTTAGTATTCCTCCTCTCCTCGACATAACGAACTTGGACGACGTACTTACCTGATCAGTTCCCCGTCTCGACCATACTTGAGCACGTGGCCGACCGACTCGTTCTCAACTTTGGTTGTCACGACCACGCTGCTAGAGACTTCGGCAGCACTGGCGAGCGCTTCGCCGCGGAAGCCCAGCCATGTTCCTCCGACATGCCGGAGATCTTCCACGGTCTGGATCTTACTGGTGAAGGCGCGTCTGCACACGAATGGGTGGTCTTCGCTTGGGATGCCGGTCCCGTTGTCTTTGACTTGCACCACATCGACAGTGTTCTGCGAGATCTCGATGGTCACAGAAGTGGCTGATGCGTCGAGGGCGTTGTCCAACAGCTCCTTAACAATTGAGCAGGGGTCGGAGATGACGGACGCCGAGCCGATCGCCCGTGCGGTTGTTGGAGGGAGCGCCGCGATTGGCATTTCTCTTGGACTCAAACAGGTTAAGAGGTCATGCTGGTAAGGTGTTTAGAGTATATGGGTGTGATTGAACAGATGCAAGGTATATAGAAGATATGATGCTCTTGATGCGGTTGCTGCAATGGTATATTGTTGTTTCCAAGTTGTTCCTGAAAAGGCGAACAGAAGATGCTCGGTAACGTATCTCCACGCACACTAATCCCCATCGGGTCAGATTCGCTTAGTCAGTCACCCAAAGCTCTGCTCGCCGAGCATGCTACGAAGCCTGTGGGTTGTGTCCTCTTCACAGTGCTTTTCTCCATGCCTTGACCCATAAATACAATATTGAGCGGCAGTCCTTTGTAGTCAGTGTACCAAGTAAGTGGCATTAGCTGGCAAAATCGAGATTCGCGGCCCGAGATCGGAGATCCAAAGCTGTGGATTCGCAAGTCCGTTACAACCATCGGCTCTGTCTCGGCATGAGGGAGAGAGTCTACAATACGGTGGAGGTAAAAGAGAAAGTATCTTCGCCTGAAGTCTGTCGCTCTCAATGTCTTATTGTAGGCCAATCAAGGCATATGAGCCACGACTCTTTGAAAAACCCTACACAATCTGAAAAAGCAATAGTATATTGATCAATCCGGGAATCCGTATTCTTTGCTAGGATCCGACGTCTTGCGCCCAAATTATCAACGATAACAACCACTTTTATAGTGGCTATAGAACAGAAATCGTAAACGTGGCGCAGACGCTTGTAGTCGTGAAAAGCGACCTGCCAGCGAAGACAACGTCAAACATCATCAGTCATTGAGGTTGTCCAGCTGCACCGTAATAACGATCGATACAATAAAAGTCGTCAGGATGATCTAAATTTCACAAGGTCATATCAGAACCGCAATCTGCCGAACGTTGAGGTAAACTCACCAAGCCAATCAGTACCCCAATCAGATTCAGCTCCCACCCCCCGGCGTAAACCGTGCCCAAGGCCACCATATTCTGCTGCTTCCAGAAGCGGTACGCGCCCAGCGAGGCGATGATAATGGCCGCCCCGTAGCAGGTCACGGAGAGCGGCACACCCACCTCGTAGAACCCCAGCGCCAGATCCGGGGAGGCCATGTGCTGGAGGCGGAACAATTGCGCGACCAGCACGCCCTGCATGGCGACCATGACGGAGGTGCGGATATACGCCAAGAAAGTTCGTTCCAATGCTGGTTCAGGACTCCAGGTTAGTTGTGTGTGCATAATAGATAATATTTACTTGAACAATCGATCGACGGTGGTGGGCGATTCGCTGGAGCGTGGGTTGGGGTGGTGCAATCGCCATGTGGGATTCCGTCATTTTAGCGCGGCGATCATTGAATACGAGTAGGTACTCCATATAAATGCAATCATCCCAGACAACTATACAGAAGAGAATGAGGAAGAATGCATCTCACCGAAATGGTCCCGATTACTCCGTTGTGGCACGGTCAGCACCACGTTTCGCGTCCAGAAGCGTTCAAGACGCCCCCAGGCCCCCTTGCGTGACTCCCGACTGCGCTGAGTCTGAGTAGTGACCTGGGAGACCGTTCGGAGCGTCCTGACGCGGTATTCCCCGGAGGAGATCGAATCGGTGGAAAAGCCGGCCTCGTCCACGTCTTGTGTCGAAACGTTGCGCAGTTCGAATGCATCGCGGTCGCTGTCGTCGTCGCTATGGCGCTCGCGACGGTGTTCGGCGGTGTTGACCGCTGTTTCAGTTGGGGGATTGGGATTTTCGTCCCGACCTCCCACTGTGTTGAAACGGTCGTCTTCGGCATGATGCTCGCGTACTTCAGCCATTGGGAATGAAGTCTAAAGGGATTTGTACGACATTTCCTAGAATTCAGCAAGGGTTGTGTGGGCGAGAAAGGTTCTGCATGATCTGGCCACGACGAAGCTCTTCCCCGGTCGGTCGGGGGGAAGTCGGCGAATGCGGTGGGAAGGACGATGATGATTGATGGATGATGTGTCACCCACCCTGGCCTTCCCTCCGATCCCCCGCGTTTTGGCAAAGGCCGGGTTTCTTATCTGGGATATTTTCCCCTCTTATCGTCCATCGCTCATCCATGGTACGTACAGTCAAAACACCTAGTACCTAGACGGTAGATCTGGGTTCAATTATGGTTCCCTACACCTGCGCACCCAATTACTACTCTACAATCAACATAACCACCATCATCACAGATGAACCTTCGCCCACGCCTCCTGCTTCTCCTCAAACACCGCCATACTCGGAGGAGCAATGCTCTCGAACAGCGGCGCCTTCAAGAATGCCTTCCCGGGCCTTCCCGGCGTGAGCGTATACAACGGACTATCTTAGATGAGCATCGCTCGTTTTTGTTGACTGTCGCAAAGGTCGACTTACCTCCCACAGCTTGAGCAGAAGTGACGCTGCAATCCCAGCATCAGCATCAGCAGCAGCATCAGCCATAGCAGCCTCTCTCTCCCACACGCACAAAAGAACAGGTGACGACAACATACCGAGATCTGATTCCCAGACCGAGTGTTCGGGTCCTGATAAACCTTCTTCACCCCATTGGGATCCTCCACGGTCATGTCATTTTCATCCACGAGATAATTGACCGAGAAGACTTGAAGCAGTTAGCACCGACTTAGCACCGAACACGCAGCAAGAGAACTAAAACGCCAAGGCAGCTAAACTTTGGGAGAAACTCACGTCCGCCCCCGGCTTTTTTACAGTTCGTGCTATCCGGCGCGCGTCAGCGATACACATACAAATGATCCCAGCGGTAGGGAGCTCTAGATAGACAACTACCTACCAATGGCATATCACCGAGTTGGCAGGCTGTTGGGGTAAGTTGATGCGCACACTCGCACAGTTGCATTGACCAATGTAAGACATTTCGATGGCTGCTGCAATTCGGGACCGTTAATGCTGCAGAGAGTGGAGTGAGTCAAAAGACTTTATAGGTTCCATCTGCGGTGAGTTATCTGTTGTGTGTGCGACGGTTTGTTTCACTTGCACCAGTGGGGACTGCCCTCAACCTTGCTTCGGCTCATTTCCTTGATCAGGATTTATAAGCGCAAGTCGAAGCACGGGTGCATCTGTGATCTGAGGTTTGAGGTCTTGTGTATTCCGCTGGTCGGCCGGCAGTGGGTTTTGACTCGTGCCGAGCCATGAGCCGCGCTCAATGTGCTTCCATGCTTGCTCTTCTGAAATGCCTATAAAACCGAGTAACCAAAATGATGCTCTGATGGTGGGTCTCACCGCCGGCCCAGACTTAATCTCATCAGTTCCACTCGGGCAATGGCTGTGGGAACATCTGACAGACTGTGCGACTGTTTGCGCTGAAGACAACACAACATGTACATAGATTGTGCCAAGTGCACATAGTGTCGCTGGCAGCGGGGATTCGGCATTTGTTCCGCGCACCAGCCCATAGTGACGTCATGGATCACCGCCGCCAAGTTCGCAACGGCTGACTAACCGCTCAGTACAAATATTGTCATGTGACCCGGCAGTTAGAGCGTGTGGACTTTCTCTTGAAAAGCGAATTGTATGTGATCGAAGTATTGTGAATTTGAAGCAGCGTTGACCATAGCAATCACCCAGAACTCCTAGTCTTGGCAATAGGTTGGCAGCCTGAAGAAGACTGCGTGCTATACAACCCCAAAGGTAGCCAGAGACCGTCCTCCAGCAGAAGGGCATGAATAGATAAGGTAGGCAAGATTGGAATCGTCCCAAAGAGAGAGTGTGTACCGTCGAAAGTACAGCTACCAATGTATCTATGATTGCTGTCACTTGCAGGTCGACTTCCGCCCGAAGGCAGATAGGTACACCAAAACAGACTGCTTTATCCTTACATGTCGGGGAATGGGGATAACCCAGCATGAATCTGTTCTGATGCAGAATCGAAAACAAAGGCATAAGGGAGCATCGGAAAACATCTGCTCCAAGAAAAGAGAATATTGAATCTGCGCCCGCGAAGTTAACCCACTCTGGAAAACACCGAGGGGAAGTCGATTCAGGTACAGTGCATTGCAGTGGAAGAAGCATCGCTGTGCGTGGAAACAACTTAGACAAGTCATGGACGGTAACGTACAATTGGTATAAAGCTACTCGAGTAGCATGGTGATGAACTAGCCCATAATGGGGCCTTTTCCCTCCACCTGCTCTCCCCCGATTCAAGATAACGAAGTAACATTGGACTAAACTGTCATATTCTTGTCTGACGAAAACATCTGCTCACACTCGTATGGCGCTCCACCACTACGTACAGTACAATCCGGGGATAAGCGGAGAGCCACCCCCAGGGCAGTCCCAAGGAGTAATAAGCCCGAGCTGGGCCGCAGAAATACCGTCCAGTCCCGCTGACCTCACACTATAAAGTCATACGAGCCCAAAAACCACATAGTAGTAGTTTTGGCCCCCGTGCTCTAGACAACAACCACCGTAAGCCTCCTCAAACGAATTCGAGGTGTGGACCCACTAGTAGAACCATTGCGCCTCGTAAAAACACAACGGCATCTATTCCGTACATCACATACTTCTATATAGAGCGAGAGCGCAGCCTCCTCACCCGAAACCCAGTCCAGTCAGATCTTCCATCTTCCACCTCTCACCGTCATCATCATGCCCCCCAGTATCTCCGTAATCATCGTCGGCGCCGGTCTGGGCGGACTCGCTACGGCCATTGGGCTGCGCCGCGCCGGCCATCAGGTCACTGTGCTGGAGAAGGCGCCGGCTCTAGGAGAGGTATGCTCTTCCTCCCCCGGCCCCCCCACCCAGCCTCACAAGTAGTGTCTATCTAATAGTTGCACGCATGAAGATAGGAGCGGGAATCAAGGTCCCTCCGAACTCAGGCCGGGTGTTCCGCGAATGGGGTCTTCAGGACGCGCTGGAGAAGATCTGCATCTGTCCGCAGGAGAACCACATGCGGTCGTACGGCGACGGGGAGGTGCTGTCGACGATGCCGCTGGGCCGGAAGAGCATGGTGGAGGCGTACGGGATCCCCTACTACGTGGTGCACCGGGTGGACCTGCACCACCTGCTGGCGGAGGCGGCGCAGCGGGAGGGGGCGGTGATCGAGCTGGGGACGGAGGTGACGGGGGTGACGGGGGTGCGCGGCACGCCGGAGCAGGCCTTTGTGCAGCTGGCCGGGGGGGCAGAGCGGGCGGCGGACCTGGTGCTCGGGGCGGACGGCGAGCGGTCGCGCGTGCGCACCTCGCTGCTGGGCCACGAGTTCCCCTGGCGCGACAGCGGCGACCACGTCTTCCGCGCCACCGTGCCCCTGACGGCCCTGGAGGCCGACGAGCAGCTGCGCGCGCTCACCCGCGGCATCAACTGGTGGGTTGGCCCCCGCGGCAACGCCCTCACCTACCCGCTCAGGCGCGGCCGCCTGCTCAACATCGTTCTCACCCACGTCCATCCGCCGGATGCCACTGTGCAGTTCGCCCCGCAGCCCATCGCGAAGGAGGCGGTGGCCGCCGAGTTCGCCGGCTGGGATCCCTTGTTCCATCGTCTGTTGGACCTGACTACCACCTGCGCGCGTTGGACCCTGCTGCACACCGACATGCCGTCCCGGTGGACGGGCGAGACGGGCAACATCGCCTTGCTGGGGGACGCTGCGCACGCAGTCTTACCGTACCTGTGAGTCTACCTCTCCCTCCATTGTCTCTGAGAGTCGGCAAGCCAATGAACCCCGGAGACTAACCACAAACCTCACGCAGCGCCCAAGGCGCAGCGCTCGCCTTCGAGGACGCCGCCGCGCTGAGCGTCCTCTTCGGCGCGATGCAAGACAAAGCGCAGATTCCCGATCTCCTGACCATCTTCGAGGCCATCCGCCAGCCCCGGGCGCGGGAGATGCGCCGCCGCGTCGGCATGGCGCGCGACATCTGGTCTCTGCCGGATGGGCCCCAGCAGCGCGAGCGGGACCGCCAGCTGCGGGAGCACGAACACGACCCCTACGACGGATATCCGAACGTCCTGGCGGATCCCGCCCTCACGCGGTGGATGTTTGGCTACGATGCGTTCGAGACGGCGCGCGAGGCGTGGCGGAAATTCGCGAGGGGCCAGTTTCCTATGACTCGCGGGACGTGGAAGTTGAACCGGGAGGGCCGGGAGTAGATGCTGTGTGATTATGGTTAGAGTACTATGAATAGCCATTGGTTTGTGGTTCCTATTTTGTTCCTTGCTTGAGAAGAATACGAGACTTTGTAGACCAGAGAAAGGATAATAGATTGACACAGTAAGACTTGGGGTTTGTGATATCTTGACCAACGCCGTCTGATAGAAGGACTTGTCTTCGGCCGTTTTCTGGGGCCAGTAATGGATGCCAGCTGGTCTGAGTGAATGGCCCCATGCACTACCACTCGAGCAACCATGCTGATGGGCTGTCATGTTATCTTCGTGCTCGGTGCATTGGACTATAGTAGCTAGCTGCTAGCTCCTATGCCACGCGGCGCTAATAACCGCCGAAGAACAGACTGCAGGAAACTTGCGGAGAATACGACAAGACCTCGAGTCTCACCAGCCTGTCGTAATTCATGCGGCGATGACGATACGCCCAGTCGAGATCGCACTTTACGAAGGATTGATATAGGTGTGTAGTTTGAGGGCAGGGATTCACGGCACTGCTCACACATGCCAGCTTCGGTCATGTGTGCACATGGCCCCCCCTGGCGTATATTAAGGCAACAGAGATTGCACCACATGGCACATCCACCCCTAGCAACAATGCAAACCATGGCTACGACCGAAACACAGACGCTCCTAACCCGCCTCACGGCGGTAAGCCAACCGGTGCCTGAGGATCCCGCCGTGTCTGCCACCGAAACACAGGCTCTCCTCGCCAGTCTCGCGGCGTTACGCCAACAAGTACCTGCAGATGACGATCTTCGCCGGAAACTGTCCCACGCACTGTCGCAGGCCCTGGTGGCAGTCGAGCGCCCGTTGGAGACCGTCCACCGGATCTCTTTCGCAGTGGGTGCTGCCCGCTCAGAATCATTTTCAGTAGCGTTACTCTGACACAAAAACAGCCATTGCAACTGACGATGACTAAAGTCGGGATCGATCTGAATCTCTTTGAAATTCTCGTCTCGAGAGGAGAGTCAATGAGCCTGGTGGAGCTGACCCAGGCCACCGGAGCAGACCCTGTGCTGATCGCGCGTATCCTCCGCTATCTGGCCGCCTTCCACCTGCTCGCTGAAACCGGAGTCGACCGGTTCCAGGCCACCCCAGCGACCCAGGCCCTCACCGTGCCGGGGTTTGCCGCGGGGATCAAGCACCAGTCAGTTCTGAGCCCCCGTCCCGTTCTCTCGTGTCAGCACGACTAATCTAATTGACCACAGTTTCGAGGTCCAACTGCCCGCCTGGGCGGCCCTTCCGGCCTTCCTCGCCGCCGCCAATTATCAAAACCCCTCCGACCGGGAGCGCACGGCATTCCAGCAGGCCCACCAGACCAACCAGACGGTCTTCGCCTGGTTTATGGGCGGCAGCGCCCCACCACGACTGTTCGAGGAATTCAGCCTGTGGATGAGCGCCCAGCGCGTCGGGCAGCCCATCTGGCTAGACGTGTTCCCGCTGGAACGATTGCTTACTTCTGCCACTGCCGCTAGAACCACCGCCCCCACTACCCCCACAGCCACCAACTGGGTAGAAACATCGGCATCACCGTCCCTCCCACCACCCCCCATCTTCGTCGACATTGGGGGCGGCGTCGGCCACCAGTGCGTGGAACTGCTGAAGCGGCTGCCCCAATTGCACGGGCGCGTGGTGCTGGAGGACCTCGCGCCCGTGGTGGCCCAGGCGCTGCCGCACGCCGGGTTCGAGCGGCGGGCGCACGACTTCTGGACGCCGCAGCCGGTGGTCGGGGCGGGGTTCTACTATCTGCGCAACGTGCTGCACGACTACCCGGACGAGCAGTGCGTGCGGCTGCTGGGGCTGCAGCGGGCGGCGATGGGGGCCGGGTCGGTGGTGCTGGTGGACGAGATCGTCTGCCCGGCGCGCGGGGCGGGTCCCGCCGTGGTGGATATGGACATCACCCTGCTGGCGTGCTTGGCGGCGCAGGAGCGCACGCTGGCGCACTGGACCCGGCTGTTCCGGGCGGCGGGGCTGGCGCTGGTCGAGGTCGTGCCGTATGTGACCGAGGGGGGGCATAGTGTGATGGTGCTGGAGCGGTTGGCTGATGGGGATGCATAGTGTACTGTACTTAGTGTATTTAGGATTGGGGTTCAGCTGACTGTACTCCGTACTGTATAGTGTATCTACTCGTGTATGTACAGTAGTACAGTAGTACAGTAGTACTAATGATGAGTACGAAGGGAGTGGGCCATTTCCTGTGCCTGGATGTTCCATCGATACAGTACTGTACACATTTTGACTACTTCATAAGTCATTTGTACACTCATTGTAACCATACCATACCGTCCTCCACCCGAAGGAAGAAAAGGGCCCCTGCCGAGCACGGCGGAGGATGCGTCGCATCCTGCTGGATTGAAATGGAAAGGATTTTCGAAGCTTAGCATTTGTCTCCAAGTTACACAACTTAATGCGACCTGGCCGTTACGATTATCATGGTAACACAGACATAATTTCTCCAGCTGTGTTCTCTAAGACCCGTATCTCTGTCCAAAAGACAGGTCAGGATGAATTTAGTGCTTACAGCTCTCCGACCCGCCCCTTTCCTCATTCACTTAGCACGGCACTAGGGACCGCCTAGGGCTTATGTTCTCACCTGGAATCCCCCCAATGGCAAGGCTGATTGCCATGGTACGACTCGCATCCGACTTGACTTCTTACCGGTCCAGACGTCTCCAGGAACAAATAAAGAAACCGTGTGGCACAGTAGAAGTTGAACGATGTCCTGGGAAACGGCCCCCTTTCTTTGCTATTATCGCATCGCATTAGTGCTGACCTGCGCGGCGTCACCGCCTCAGTTTTCCCATCAGAGAGAGACAACAACCCAGGGTTACATCGACGCGCTAACAGGACACTATTCTCGCTAAAGAGGTAGCTTACTCCGTACAGTGCTTTAGCAGGTTGGTACTAGGTCACTGTATTCGCTCTCCCCGAGTGGAATACCTGCCCAATGAAACGCATCAATTAGGCACAGCGCTCATCGCCGGTCTGTGTACCTAGTAAACTCCCCCTCCCCCTCCCCCACCGGGCGCGAACAAGCCCCGCGACAGGGGGTGGATTATTCCATCTTGTACAGTACAGTACCTTAGCACCCATCTCCATGTCTAGCTAGCTAGAGCTGAATCTGAAAACAATCTGGGTTTGGGGGGGGTAAAAGGGTGCGATGAGATCGAATTCAGTATAAAACCTCCACCTCCAGCCAAATAATTCAACCCATCCCATCCCCACTAAGTTACCTTTCACTCTCCAGCCCCCCTCCCCCTTCACCTTTCCATCTCCCACCATCTACCCCCATCCCCACATATACACCCTCAAAACCATCCACAATGGCCGAAACCGTCGCCGAAGTAACAGCAGCCGTCAACGCCGCGCTGGCCAAACTCTCCCCGACCGACGAGATCCCCGACGCCGCGCGCTTCGGCCTCATCGATGCACTGGAGAAGCTCAAGGGCGCGGTCGAGCCCCCGATCGCGACGGTGCTGAACATCTGCTGGGCGGTGTGTTGCCCTTCCCCAAAGCTCCTACCGGCTTTCCTCAAGCTTTCATCAAAGAAGAAGAAAAAAAAAAGACTTTCAAACTGAATCGACATTGAATGGGGTTACTAACGCATCCCAAATGAAAGGCCCACCCCCTCATCGCCCTCCGCATCGCCATCGGAATGGGCATCTTCGATGCCTTCGCCGCCGCCGGCCCGGGCGCCGAGTTGACGGCCGACGAGCTGAACGCGAAGACCAAGGGGGATAAGGACATGCTTGGTTGGTCTCTTTCTTTGCAGAGCACTTGATGAGCGATGTGTGAAGGCACGAACTAATTCTGGTGTCCGGGGATCTGCGACAGTCCGCATCATGCGCCTGCTGAGCGCCAACCGGCTGTTCACGGAGACGGCGGCGGAGAAGTACCAGGCGCAGCCGTTTGCGCTGGCGTTCGCGACGGGGGCGCCGCCTAGTGAGGTGATTAAGAATTTGTACGTATCCATGTTTCCGAGCCCAGGCCAGCCTGGGGAGTGGAGAGATACTGACTGACTGGGGCCCACCAACAGCCACATGATCCTGCGGGCGACAGCATACACGCACGAGTTCCTGGCGGCGCGGGACTACACGAGCCCCGAGGACGCGTACGAGACGCCGTTCCAGCTGGCGTACAACACGCCGCTGCACCACTTCGAGTGGCTGGGCACGAACGCGGAGGAGCAGCATGCCTTCAACACGGTGATGGAGACGAGCAACCGCGCCGTCGAGGGGGAGCAGTGGTACGACTTCTACCCGTGGGCGGAGCGGCTGGCTGCCACGGAGGAGGACGCAGACCGCGTGCTGCTGGTGGACATCGGCGGCGGCAAGGGCCACGACCTGCAGCGGTTCCAGACCGCCCAGAACCCGGGCCGGAAGCTGGTGCTGCAGGATCTGCCCAGCGTGATTGCCGATATCGCGGGCCCGTTGGGCGCGGGCATCGAGGCGCTCGGGTATAGCATGTTCGACGCGCAGCCCGTCCGCGGCGCCAAGGCGTACTACATGCGCACCGTGCTGCATGACTGGCCCGACAAGCAGGCCCTGCAGGCCCTGGCCCGCGTGCGCGAGGCGATGGCCCCGGATTCCGTCCTGTTGATCAACGAGAACACTATCCCTGAGACGGGCGTGCCTCGCTTCAATGCGAGTGTCGATCTGATCATGTTGTCTATGTTCTCGTCGCTGGAGCGCACGGATAAACAGTGGCTGAGTCTGTTGGAGCGCGCGGGCTTCAAGGTCGTTAAGGTGTGGCGGGCGGAGAACCAGGGGACTGGGTCGAATGCGCTGTTTGAGGCGGTGCCGGTTTGAGTTGTATAGCTAGGGTTCTAGAGCGGGGGGATACCTGTTAATTCAGTTCGGTCGTTTTTTTTCCATGCATGGAGAACAAAGTGAATAGATCCAGCCTTGTTGCACGCTGCTTCATCGTAGGCTTGATGCTGGCCATCAGTAGCATCTATGGTCTTGGGAATTTAGGGTCTACTGCAACCAGGCGGGAAACCATTCCTACAGAGTACGCCTATATCAGAAACCAGGTAAAGGCAGTTGAAGTGGACATTGCCCCCCCCCCCTCCCCAATATTAGGCACTACACTGGCATTAGACATAGGAGTGGGAAAATTCATCTCACAAGAGAAAAAGAAATAGAAAGAATCAGAGAGGGAGACTGATCAAACCAACTGCCCAGAAGCAGTGAAGTCGACAAGATAGTCCAGAACACATGGGAACAAGCCAGTAGCAACAGCAAACAGGCAGGTCTCTCTAGAAGTACTACTGTACATAACTGGCCCACGGTAACTCGGCTCTTCCACAAAAACGAATCCAAGTTCATAGAGCCGGGAGAGCAAAAGCGGGCTAAAACACTCCAACCTAGTTCATTTTATCTGGGCTTCAGTAGATCCGCCTATCAGTAGTGGGAGTTGTTATCTGAGACGCATACGGAATCTTCGGCTTTAGATGCAAACATGATAGTTCCAGGATGTGGGTTCTAAATTGGGTTACAACCAGACAACGCACCTATGCAAACATGATTCAAGTTCGCCGCCTCAATGCAAACATGATGTTGTGGGGATTCACGTTCGCCGCCTCATTGCAAATAATTTAATGATGTTCCTTCGGAGAAAGAGGAGGTTAAACAGCGGGTTCTAGAATACACGAAGTGCCGCTGTACGGCACTGATCCTCTCGGCGACTGGAAAGTCGTTGCCTCCCCAGGTCCGAGTGGCTGAGACGGACTACAGTCCATCTTCCCTGGACTCCGTGCTTCGGGGCCAAAATGCGGTCATCAGAGCTTTGGGGCACGCGGTGCTCGACAAATAACTCGACCTGATTGAAGCCGCTGAGAGGGCCGGTGTCCGGAGATTTGTGTCCAGCGACTTTGGCGCGTTCCCCGAGGGGTCACTGATGTATCAGGCTATGCGACCATCTTGGCAAAGAAGGGCAAGGCAGCAGAGCTCAGTCTTGCGGGAGAAAGCCAAGCAAAACCCACCATTCACCTGGTCGACATTCGTGAACGGCCCCCTTTTTGGACAGGGTAGGAGACCTCCCAACGGGTTGCTGTCTTTTGTTTCCCCATCACCCCGTGGCGTTGAGAATGCCTTAAAATGCCAACATGAAAGCACAGGCTCTGATCAACTTCCCAGACTTTGGCTTCGATGTCAAGAGTCAGTCGGCGATTATCTTCGATTCTGGGAACGAGCCTCTCACCGCGATGGCTATCAAGAACATCGGGCAGGCCGTCGCGAGCATGCTCGAGTTCCTAGAGCAGACGGCGAACCGACCTCTCCAGATCTCTGCACTGTTGACTACACAGAATAAAAACACTAAGGGTCGGACCCAAACCAAATGGAACAAGGTTGATATCAGTACGAAGGATGCCGAGCTCAAGGCTGGGGCCATGTTACGCAATGGCGATTACAAGGGAGCATACATAGGTCTCTTGGTCGCTCAGTTGTTCGAGGATGGAGCGGGCAGGGGAGTTGGGACAGGAGCAGACAATAAGCTGCTTGGAGTGGCACCCGAACGGCTGGAAGATATCATTGAGGTGACTGTAACCGAGGCCTAGGGGCAGTGATAGTGAAGTTGAAGGTGGCTTCTGCATCCCCGCTTGACGGGGCTTGAGCTATATTTGTCTGGCAATTCTCTTGCTCTGATCTCACCTCAAATCATTCAACGGTGATAGCTAAAGGGGGCACCCCCACGACATGACTGGTGCCGTGAATGCGAACTTAAGACTATGTCAATCTACAAAAAATCGAATAAGATTGTCCGGTGTACCTTATTTGCTGCTGCTGCTGCTGCTGCTCTGTAAGAATGATCCATCCTCGCAAATATAGAGCTCCGGGACATTCGATAGCTAAGTATCTTCTGTTTCACAAGGTTCACTTTTTGAGTCCTGTGGCAGCTTAAGAGTGCGTATGGAAGTATCTAGCTATGGGGAATACGTGGCTGTCTGCTGGAGATGAGGAAGTGCTTAGTCATGTGGCCAGGGATATTCTCACATCTCTTGAGGTAGCTTCTACGGGCACCTGGATGCAAATCATGCATCGTCCGGATGGAAGTTACGGCAAGCCCCTCGTGCCGATTTGCAATAACCCCATTTTTCATAGTAGACTTATAGTATTTTTGTATATTATTGCAGTTAGTGCCGTGCCCACTATGCTCCCCACTCTGTTTGCACTGTTTCAATGATTTGCCTCCTCTGCCAAGACCCTTGCTTGGGTCGGAGTTAGGAGGATTTAGGAGGGCGGGAACTCCGGAGGTGATCGGATCTCGGATCCCGGATACTTCCTTCAGTACTTCGTACTCATGAATGCGTACAGTGTATACATGTGGATACAGTCCGCAGAAGACAACACAGTCGGGCGTGCTTCCAGATTCATTCCATCCCCCATTGTGGACCCTGGTGGGCTTATTGCAAACATCTGCCAAGCTGCACTTTCATTTTATGTTTCTAATTCTAATCCACTGGCATCATTGCCCAGCACCGTCGTATTGCTGAGACAAGCAAGTACGCTGCCAAAACTATAAGTACGGATCTCTATCCAGATTCTTGAGCAGAAATGCATCCTGTTTGAACGTCCTCACCGCAGCTCATGACTAAAACTTGCCTGTTATTGAAACATGAGACTCGCTTTTACACTATCTGCTTTGACCGCACTCTGCGGTCTGTCCGCGGCCGCGCCCACCGCACCGGTCAAGGTGGGCATGCAATCTCCCATTCTGAATACGATAGAGCCAGTCAGCTAAGAGAAAATGGATTAGACCACCGGTAGCTGCCACTATGACTCGTCTCCAGACATCGTGAGTGCCCTTCCTCTGCGAGAGACAGGGAATCCGCCATGCAGACACACCGCGGGCTGACCTCTCGACCAGAGTGATATCGCTGGCACCAGCTACGCAAAGCTTGTCAAGGTGGCGACCGTCCCATCGGGCCCGACATATCGTTACGTTTTCTCACATACCTCGAGTTCCTCGAAGCCTTATTTACTGTTTATCCACGGATTCCCCTCAAGCTCATTCGATTGGCGTCACCAGATCGACTATTTCGTCAGCCGAGGATATGGTGTCATTGCCCCCGACTTACTCGGATTTGGTGGCACGGATAACCCCGCTGATCTCCAGGAATTCACCCTGAAGAGACTGATCTCGGATCTGGGCGCTATTCTTGACTGTGAAGGCGTTGAGGATGTGTTTGCAATCGGCCATGACTTGTATGCCTTCAACACGGCCCACATTCTTTCCTCCCGGCTCGGTCCCCGCCCCCTGTGAATTCTCTCTTACCGTTAACTCTGGAAACTAGCGGGTCTGTGGTACTCTCGCGTGTCATCACCTACTTCGGGAAACGTGTTAAGGGGAGCGCCTTTGTGGGAGTGGGATACTCGCCCCCGCCCATGTCCTTCAATCAGGCTGGGGTGGAAGCCGCCAACAACGCCAGCCTCGAGACCCTTGGCTACCCGCCCTTTGGGTATTGGTATTTCATGAATGAAGACGATGTCGCCCCTATCATGGACCAGCATGTAAGAGAGCCCCCTCTTTTTAATCGTGTTCCTCCTGCTTTTTCTTGCCAAAAACCGCGAAAACCTCCGGTCTCACACACAGTGATTGATCTCTTTTCGTTCTTTTTCTGTGGGAAATTCTAGTTTGACTCCGCCTTTACGCTTACCTACACCTCCGATCCCACCTATATGAGGGAACACTTGTCCCCGATGGGAGAGTACAAAAAGTGGCTTCTCGCGGATGAGATCGCTCCCTGGACCACATTCATCACTCAGGTCGAGAAGGAGACGTTCGCGAACATCACCATGGCCCACGGGGGATCTGATGGGCCGGTCAAATCGTACAAGTCGCTCATGCGGGATCTCAATGCCGCTGATGAAGAAGGTAAGCCAAGTCTGCATGTTCTTCTGATACTGCTCCCCACCCACCCCTTTTCTCTGGGAAGCAAGGCTGAAAAAGATACATAGCCATACCAGAAACGGACGCCGTCATCAGACATCCGGTCTTGCTTCTCACTGCGAGTAAAGATCCCGTGGCGATTGCCAATGTACAGGTCTCCAACACCGCCCCCTACGCGGCAGATATCCACATCAAGTCGGTGGAGGCGGGCCACTTCTTGCAAGTGGAAAAGCCCGATGCGGTCAGCCTGGGCATCCATGAGTTTGTGAAGGAGGTCCTGGCCGCCGGGGATTCTTGCTTGTAGGCACAGCACACCCTCCACCTGACTCACTGGCCTCGTGGTTTGCAAATAGCTTCTTGATATATGTCTCGCGCGGCACAGTCGGGAGGGGGGACTTGCAGCACATGTTCTATTCCAAACCGTATGAGGGCTTAAGAGCAGGAGAGGGGGGGGGGGGTTGAATTCGGATGGAAAGTCGTTGAGTGGGGTCAGGATCAAATGGTGATTTTTTAGGTGAAATGAGCACTGTCCCCATGAACTTGTTTGGGGATAGTGAAAGATAAGTTCTATTCAAAGCGTTAAATTGACTGTTGGGTTCGTCAGTAGCAGTCAAGCTACTTAGACAAGGTCTCTTCTGGATCGGCCTCTCGGGGGTCAAGGTCAAGGCTCGGGGTGTATTGTGTCTGGTTACCCCAGGCAATGAGGCTGTTATGCTGACGGCAGTATTGAGCTGCTTCAAGAGGGGACCGATCTGCCTTGAATTGTCTTGTCTCTGTGAACCACATTACAGCAGAGAGGATCCGAACACACCCACAATGTCTCTGCCTGTCCGCCAAACCAGAGTCTACCGCCGCTCGACCGACGGCACCCGAGTCGAACTCGTGACCGAGGACCTCCCCACGTCCCTAGTATTAGAAAAGCTTGCAGTATCTTATAGATGGTAGAAAAATAAGATTCAGAGAAGCTAAATTTCTAAATTAACATCAAAGCAGTCTCTGTCTGAGGTTCGAAGTATTGCTATTCAATATTCTCTTAACACCGGAGAGCTGGCAATTTCGTTTAGATTAATCTGAAGAAAAGGCAATAAAAAGGTTGATAAAATGTTTAAAGAAACCAGTGATAAAGGGTACTGTATAAATAGCACTAAAAGAATCTCAAAAATTACAATGTTCAATTAAATCTCTTAAGTTGAAATATAATGAACTCTGAGGCTAGGACCACATGCTCTATATATATAAGCCTGAACTTGATTATTTCTAAACAAACACTACAGTCTAGTATCTGCAAAAACAACTATCTCTGGATATTCATTGAACATAGTAGAGACTAATATACAAAATTGCTTCTAATCTGATCTTCTCCCTGTCTTACTTTTACATTGTTGGAGATCGGCAATTTCTAGACTATCATTTTCAAGAGAAGTAAAATAGAATAATTCAAATTCCGCTATCTATATATAGAAGACAAAAATAAATACTATCTTCAAGAACTTGAGGATTTTAATGATAAATCTTGAATATGGCAAAGTTGAAAGCGCAGTTCCTGTGAACAGAGTACTTGAAAGTACAATCCCAATCCCTATATACAAAATATCATACACATACATCCAAACCAACCCAACCAACAGAAAAAAAGTGGTATAATCAACAGCAAACCCCAACAACAAACATCCCCCCTTTCCAAAGTTCAATTCACCATTCGCCCCCAACTAAACCGGACTCCCCACACTCGTCTCCGACTGCCTGGGCGACCCCCTCTCCCTCGAAGTCTGGGTAATCAACACCGTCTGCTGAATCTTGTTCCCCTTCGTTGCTGTCCCCATGCCACCCTTCCCCCCGTGGAAAATCAAATTCACCCCGTCATCCGCCTGGCCGGTTTTCTTCTGGGCGTGCTTCTGCTTCTGCGCGCGCACGGAGGTCTTCACGAACCCGATGCGGTACGAGCCCGTCGATCCGCCGGAGGCGGTATAGTTGCTGCTGCTGTGGTTGGTGGAGGGGCGGATGGGTTGCCCCTTCACCAGAAAATCCCAGATCGGCTTGGAGGGCGGGATGCATGCGGCGATGATCACGAGGGGAATCTCGAGGAAGGCCCACAGGTACAGCGCGTAGCCGTCCCAGGTGGGGTCCGTGCCGGCCGTGGCGGGGATGAATTCGCTGGTTTTGATGCAGGCGCATATGCCTGCGCTTTTGGGGGGTTAGGGTTGGTTCTTCGGTCTGGGAGGATACTGGGGAACTGGGGAATCGGGGTTGGGGGCAGGGGGGCTTACACGATACCCAGACTCAGAATGCAGAAGAGGACGATGCGCTTGCGGAGGCTGACTTTTAGGTCGATGATGAAGCTTAGCGGCAGCAGGGCGAGGACGAAGTCGAGGTATGCGCCGAAGGCTTTGCTCTTGTTAGCGGTTGCTTGGGGGCTTTAGGGGATGATTTGGAGGGCCCGGGGAAGATACCTGACTGCAGCATGGTGATATCCGTGTTGATGCGCGCGTCCAGACACGAGGCCTGGCCCGAGGTGCGCAGGCTCATGTCCCACAGCGCCTGGACGGGCTTGCACTGGCCGATCAGCATGCAGAGGCTCAGCACGGTGAGGCAGAAGTACAGCACGATGTGCACGGTCAGGAACCACCGGCGCCACTTGGAGGTGCGGCCCGAGATGCGCATGATGAACAGCGCCACGCTGATCTTGCCGCACATCGCCGACAGCGCCGCCGGGAACTGGTTGATGATCTGCATCTTGCCGATGTACAGGATCTCCTCCGCGCTGAGGTAGGCCACGTGGCGCGCCCCGCCGCGCAGCTCCATCGCCGTGCTCATCGCTGCCGCTGCGGTGTAGAGCATCTGTTTGGGTCGCGTGGTTAGTGTCTCGCTTCTTGGGTCTTTGGGGATGCTGAGAGGGGGCCTACCCATGCCACGAGGATCGTCCAGTCGTCATACCCCAGGTCCTTTCGCATGCCCCGACAGTAGAAGCGGGTCACGACCAGCCCTACCGTGAAGGGGAAGGGGACCCAGAAGCATAAGAGCAGGCTCACGGCCCGGTTCTCGTCGGGAGGCAGAGCCGCTGACATGGCGATGCGTTGGTTTTCCTTCGCGCTGCGGAGGAATTCAGGACGCTGATTCTGGCTGCTTGTGGGGATCAGCGTGAGGCAGGGAATGCAGGGTGGGAGGGGAGGGGAGGGGACCGGGGGGGGGTAAGCCAGACACAGACACTTATAGCGATGGTGTCACGACGTGTCGATGACTGGTATGTTCTGCAGGGCGCAGTCAGGCCCGTCATCCCATATCAACCACCTGCAGGGAACCAGTCAAAAGAGATGGTTGCATTTTGGCCCTCCGATGCTCTGCGCTATCTGGATGGCTGCTGCAATGGTGGTTGGGGTCCATTCGGTGGCGGTCGGCCTGAGGCTGCCTCCTGCCCCAGGCCCCATCTGCCACCAACCAAGAAGTGGGTGGGTAACTGTTGGCGACCGGTGCGGATTGGTGTTCTCGCGTAATCATTGCGATTCGAATGGTGGCATAGTGGTGAGGAAAGACGGCACTATGGCTTACTGACTTATATGACTGACTACCCAGCTAGGGTTATCTCCGGATTCCAGCCCCCGCCACTTCAACCGTGATTATGCTCAATGTTTCGTTTCACCACTGCTCAATACACTCACTCACTACAGTAGATTTAACAATTCCCCAGAAGGATTCGATGTCCATACAATTCTGGTAGAGCCCAGCAATTGACCCAAGCTCAGAGTCGCCAGGTTGATTTGTCAACCATCAATCAGCCCTTGGTGCCGCCCCACCAATGCAGCCCCCATGCACTGCATAAGCAGTAGTAAGGACAGCCGTATAGCCTGAACACTCAATACAGTACGTACAGTACACGTTATACGTGGATGGAGCCATGCATGCATATATACTTGTAATATAGTTTATTGTACAGTACACTATCTCCTAAGGTACTCTTTTTGGCCCCCAATACCACCCCCTCTTCTCCTCTTGTCTTCATCTTCCCTTGAGGGTTCCCATTCACACCCCCGAGTCGATTTCATCCACAAACTCATGCCCGCTGAAGTAAGCCCAGTCGCGACACGTCTGGGCCATGGTCTTGGGAATCTGCAGGTTCCGGATCGCATCTGGCTGCTCCACCACGTTGATCAGCAAGCCCGCACTCACGTGGAAGGACATGTGGCAGTGCAGCGGCCAGGTGCCCGGGTTGTTGAGCTGCCACTCCAGGACCAGGTAGGCAGGGTCCTCGGGGTTGCCCGGCTGGAGGACCTGCGTGTCGCGGCTCTGGGGGTTGGCCGGGTTGGTGATGGTGCCGTCCCACGTGCCGCGGCCCTCGGCCAGCACCCAGAAGTTGTGGCCGTGCAGGTGCATGGGATGCTGCATGGCGAAGACGTTGTAGATGACCAGGCGGATGGAGCTGTTGGCCCCGAGGTTGTAGATGTTCAGATCCGGGCTCTCCGGGTAGGAGAAGTTGCCGGTGCGGCCCAGCAGCAGCAGCGGCGTGTTGTAGTTGGCCCGGAAGGTCGAGTTGTTCACGAAGAAGAGGTAGTTCCCTGAGGCGTTGACCCCCATCGTCACCTCGAGCGTCTCCGTCAGGGCCGGCGTCGCCGGCGGCGTCTGCGCGTAGTACGGCACCGTCGTGTTCAGCGGGTCGTTGCGGCAGTTGTTGCTTACCCACGTCGCCGTCGACTCGCTGGTCGGCAAGGCTTGGGGGTTGGCCTGCTCGTAGTAGATCGCCGCCTGCGCGGTCTCGTACGTCGCGGTGTTGTTCAGGCAGTACATGTCCAGCGTGGCACGCATCCAGTACGCGTCCGTCGGCTGGCCCGTGGCTTCGACGATCACGTCGGTGCGCTGGCCCACGCCCAGCGTCACCACCTCGGTCGTGTACGGCTGCACCGGCACGAAGTCGTTGGCGATCACCGTCATCGTGTGCCCGTCGATGCTGAACTTCTGGTTTGCGTTGGCCCCCGTGTTCAACAGCCGCAGCCGGTGCTTCTTGCCCGAGGTGAAGTTGAACCGCGCGTAGCCCGTCCCCGTGCCGTTGGCCCCGTGGCCGTTGATCAGGTTGTTGTCCACGTTGGGGAAACTGGGCGGGATGGAGAGGATCTCCTCGAGCACCGAGTAGTAGTCGAGGTAGGTGTAGTCCGCGATCATCACCGGGCCCACGTCCAGGTCGTACTCGGCCCCGGGCTGCACGGGGCCGTGAATGATCATCGGCCCGTAGGCCCCGTCGGTGTACTGGGCGCTGAAGTGGGAGTGGTACCAGCTCGTGCCATACTGATCGGCTTGGAAGCGGTAGGTGAAGCTGCCCCCGGGGATGATGGGACACTGCGTGACCCCCGGCACTCCGTCCTCCCACGGCGTCTTCTTCTGCGTCAATCCATGCCAATGCAGGGTCGTGCCTTCTTCGTCGTCGTAGATCTCGTTGCGCACCGTCACCTCGATCATGTCCCCCCAGTTGGCTTCGATCATCGGCCCGGGGAACTGCCCGTTGATCAGGATGGCATCTTTGGAGACTCCGTCCGGCGCAACGGTCCCCCGCGCGATGGTGAAGTTGTAGTACCGCGTGACGCCCGTGTTAGGCGGATCACCCGAGGGAGATGCGTCCGACCAGGGCGCGGTGGTGAGACAAGTCTGTTCATGCCGTTAGACGGTCTGAATCCGAGCGTGGATATTTCCGCCGATGAAGGGGCGGAAACAATGAGTGCATACCTTGTCTTTGCGCCACACGGGAAGATTGCGGGTTGGAAGAAGGCCATAAGGATATCGCGCGACTGAAGAGGAAGTCGAAGTCTGAGAGGAGGCAACTGCTGCAGCCGCCGTCACCGTCGCAGTCCCGGCGACGAGTCCCAACGATTTCCAACTGAACAACATCTTTGATCAAGGGAAGAAAAGAAGACGAACTGAATGAAGCACAATTGACCACAATTGACCACAATTGACCGCGTGGGGTGTCGTCAGGGCGCATTTATACCTTCACCGGGCGACGTTTTTTTTTTCCTTTCCCATTGAAGGGACTATTGCACGACGCGCTGCAAACCCCTTGCCTTTAGTCGTTACTGGGGGATCAATCCTTCGAATCCCCCAGCAACCCTCATATCGATTTGGAGTCATCCATAATCAGGTGAGGTCCTCTGTGTGCCTGCTCAATTCTTAGGTAGTTTTGTAGTTAGTGTATCGCCCCCACGCCGTAGCCTGACGCAGTCAGACTATAGTTATGTAAACATAGCCTCACCTCGGAGGAACCGACAGGCTAGGTAAGCGCCAGCCATGCCTCTTGGCGATTATTATCCGAGATGAGGCGTTATATTGATCCGGCCACACGTGGAGACTAACGTTGCCATCCAGAAACGATCTAAAATCTGACATATGTACTGTAGCGCTTCGAAGCGCTTTCCCCTCGCCCATTCGAAACGTGCCGCCATTTTCCGGGCGGTTCCGGATCACTGCAGACTTGCCTTGTTAGGGCTAGCATCGAACTTAGTAGTAACTGACTGTTCGTACTGCTGTTCTTACCGCTATCCGGGCATTGACAGGTGGAAATTACGATGGCAGTGGCAGTAAGCGGACTGGCGTGCAGAAGCACGTTACGACCTCTCGTCATAGTCAGCATCGGCTCTCCAATGAACCAACCCTGCGTGTCGTTGATTGGGTTCTGCGCTTTTTCTATCACTCTATCACTCTATCTCCCTCGTGTCGGTCCTGCCATCGTGCCTTTCAAGGCTGCATATGTGACCAGGGCATTGGTTTCTGGATTTTAGCCCCCAAAGTAGCCTCAATACACCCTCACCCGCATCTTGTCTGATTAGAGAAGACTATACAATGACTATACAGTACTATGCTGAGCCGAGACGTTGTACATGTGTCCATGGCTTCTGGTGAGGAGGCTCAATTGCTCGAGACCTGTTTTCTGCTGCTCGGGTTGACGGTCGACTAGCTTACTGGCCTCTCCATGGACATCTGAATACGAATGCCGTGCTCAAGGTATATAACTGGGGTTCCGTCCCAGAGGAAGCCCTGAAGAACGGGCCAATTGACTGACTCAACTCAGGCAAATCTCATTCCATCCTTTTCATCCCTTCTCTCTTCCCTTCCCCTCATCTCCTCTTTGCCCACACACCAAAGAGCAGAGCAATGCCAGTTTCAACCAAGGCAAGCAACGGCAGCACGCCACCCACCCCCATACCCAAGGGACCTCCTGCCCCCCGAGCCCAGGACCAGCCGCTCAGCCTCACCAACCCAGCCAGCTGGATCCCCTACCTCCAATTGATGCGCCTCGACCGGCCGGCGGGGTTCATCGGCTTCTACATGCCCTCGATCCTGGGGCTGGTGTACGCCGCCAGCCTGGCGGGGCCCGAGACGGTACCGCTGCGCCGGCTCCTCACACAGGGCATCTTCTGGCTGGGAGCCAACATCCTGATCCGCGGGGCGGCCTGCACGTGGAACGACAACATCGACCAAGAGTACGACCGGCAGGTGGACCGGTGCCGGGGGCGGCCGATCGCGCGCGGGGCAGTGTCGACGCAGCAGGCGCACGTCTTCCTGGCGCTGCAGCTGGCGCTCCTGGGGCGGCTGTTCCAGCCTCTGCTTTCCTTTTCGTCTTCCTCTTCCTCGACACAGACCCCGTCCGCCTACGCCGCCTACGCCGCCGCCGCCATGGGCTCCCTCTACGCCCTCTACCCTTTCTGCAAGCGCTTCACCCACTACCCGCAGGCCATCCTTGGCGTCCCGCTGGCCCTGGCCATCGTCCTGTCCGCCTACTCGCTGGTCGGTGCTGGTGACGACGCTCGACGCGAAGGAGACCCCTTCCGTGACCGCCCCACCACCGCCGCCACCCTCGCCCTCGCCCTCGCCGAGATCCTCTGGACCATGATCTACGACACCGTCTACGCCCACCAGGACCTGCAGGATGACCTCCGCGCCGGCGTCAAGTCCATGGCCGTCCGCTTCCGCCACTCCACCAAGCCCCTCTGCGCCGCCTTGGGGGTGGGCCAGGTCGCTCTGCTTGCCTGCGCCGGTGCTTGGACGCACATGCCCCCCGTATACTTTGTCGTTGGCGTTGCAGGGTCCGCTGTGGCGCTGGTCGTCATGCTGGTTTCGGTGGATCTGGCGGTGCCCGCTAGCTGCGCTCGCTGGTTCAAGTTGGGGTTCTGTTTTGTGGGCGGCTGCATGAATTGCGGGTTCTTTGCGGCTTATTTGGTGAGGTGGTTTGGCTGGGCGTGAGGGGAGTGGGTGTGTGGGGTTGGTTAGGGTGTCTAGGGACGAGGGTGGGTTCTCTTGTGAAGGAAAATTTCAGGGGGGCTGTTTGTTTATTGACGCTGCAGTTGGGAAATGTGAGGGGAGGAGGGATGCTGACGAAGTTTTGGGGACGGGGCGTTTACTGTGACAATGTGAAGCAAGGATCAAGTTGGGTGAGGACTGGATAGATTCTACCTGTCGCATAGCGTACACTGCATGTCTGCTGGCTTTGGATATAGTTGATGTGAGAATGATAAGCCGACATATGGTTCAATGATGTCGTCTGACCTGAGACGCTCGATATCTTCAGACTTTCGATATCTTCTGTCCCTGGTTGATAGCGCTGTCGAGGACATGAGGAAGTAGCTAAAACGACGTCTCCATGGGGAATCACCATGGAGCACTATGCGGAGTGAATACTAAGTGCAAATAAGTACTATACTGCCCCTTCACCATCAGGATATTGTCCAATATATGTGAGTGTGGCACAAACTGTCACTGATTTACAGTCGAGATGGTGGCTCGGAACTCCGTTATGCCGATGCCGACGCCGATGCCGAACCCCAGCATCAGCCAAATCCTCGTCTTGTCCACAACCTCACTCTGTCTATCAAACCGTGTTCCTCTTGGTACTGTGTCACCAATATCATATCTAATGCCACCTTTGCGACGCAAAAATGGCCGCCAGCCCGCATGCGAGCCCTGTCGCCGCCGCAAGCTCGCCTGCGACCACGAACTACCCGGCTGTCGCCGGTGCGAACGCCTGTCGATGAAGTGCGTCTACCTCGCCAATCCGCTGACAAAAGCAAAGCCTACTAGTAGCGACTCAGAGCCGTCACCAGACTCCGGCATAGGCATTCCGAGCATTCCGAGCGATAGCAGCGCGATGCCGAGCGCAAAGACCTGCCCCGGCGCGCAGTCCACCACGCCGATCCTCGAGAGCTCCGCCGAGTATCTGGGGCCGGCGAGCTTCACCTCGGTGTTTGTGGAGCACCGCGAACGCTTCGAGGTCGACCACGCACTCGCTAGCCCCGCTGCCGCTGGCGGTGGTGGTGGTAGTGGTTACACCGTCCCCAACCTACCGTCGTCGTCGCCGATCCAGCCCGCCACGAACCCGATCATCACGCCGCGCCTGCTCCAACTCGGCGTGCAGATCTTGCAGAACGTCCCCGACGAAGACACGTGCAACCTGCTTTTTGTGCGCTGCGAAGTCTCCATGGACTCGTGCTTCCGCTTGGCCAATTGGCAGGCCTCCAAGCTGACCTGGGACGCGTATCGGCCGGTGCTGCGGGCACGCACGCCCGAGGATCTGCACACCCTCGCACGGCGGCTGGCAGAGTGCACGCTCGTCCCGCTGCCCGCGGAGCAGGATCCGGGGCGTTGGGTGGAGTCGTTCTCCGGTCTGAAGGCGCGGTGGGAGCTCATCGGCGTGCTGTTTACGTACTGGTCGTATGGCTGTGTGTCCCTGGCACCGGACAGTCCGGCAATTGCGTCCTACTGCGCGGGCCGGGCGATGAAGGGCGCCAAGGAGATGATGCTCCACTTCAAGAAATGCGCGTCCATGTGCATTGAGGTGTGCAGCGAGCTGGGAGGGGTCAATGTCCTGTTCTTGCATCTGCTGTACAAGCATAATATCATGGAGAGCAATGTGAGTGGAGACAAGAGTAGGTGGTTTTCATCTTTTCATTTTTTTTTCCGGGGTGGGAAGTGATGGTTTGCTGACGGTGGTAGGTCTCTCTTGCTGGCGACAACACGGCGATACCATCGCCGTGACCACCTCCATCGGGCTTCATCGCGAGCCATCTTCGGAGTGGAACGAGGTCTCATTTCAGCATGAGCTGAAAAGGCGACTCTATTCGGCGATCTTCGCGTTCGACAAAGTCGCATCCACTTTGACGGGTCGGCCGCCGCTCCTGAGTCGCAGATATTCCACTACCCAGCTACCGTTGGACATCAGCGACCACGATATTCTGTCTGGTAATGTGAGGAACGCCGCTGCAAAGCTGGGTTCCGACGGGTGGGATCGCAACAGCGGGAGGAAATTTACCCAGGCTGCGATTCTGCGCGCGCGGGCCATGTTCGCGAGGAACCGCGAGGAGATATTGGAGGTCTTGGAGTCTTCGCTGGACGAGATCTCCGCCTCGGCTATTGAGACATGCTTGTGAGTCGCGGCCACACTTGCCGTGGGTTTCAACTGACTGGATATAGTAATCTTAAAGCTCAGGCCTCTGCCATCTATGACAAGCTACCCGAAAGTCTCATCCACCAAGTGGAAGATATCGACGATCTCGACATACCGGGGCATTGCCTGCATACACGGATCCTCGTGCGATTAGAGTACTTGCTGAATCAGTTTCTACTGGAAAGACTCTTGACCCGCCACAAGATCGTCACCGAGCAGGCGCTCATCGGGGTCAGCCAGGAGACGCTGTCTCTCACGTTGCTCTACTGGAAACACAAGGACCGATTCATGGCCCTTCACAACGATTTCTCATGGCTGGTAAGTACCACCCCGTGGGCTCTCACCTATCCTCGTGCGCGTACTGATCAGCAGCGTAGGCGATGTCGTACGGCGCGCCGTGTAGTGGAATCCTCTGTCTCGAGCTGCTCCGCCAAGCGTCCAACCCCCAGGCGTACAACTTAGACCTGCCTCGCTCGGCAACCATCCAGAACTTAAGCCTATTCGTGGCGTTTTTGGATTGGCTCAAACCCTGTGGCTCGGATATCTCCGCCAAGACCCAGATCAAGAGCATCCTGCAACGCTCGCTCGACCGCATCCTCGCCATGCCGGCTTCACTGTGCAGTCCCGCGACGGCCATGGACAATTTCGGCATGCACGACTTTATCGGCGCGGAGTATCCGCATCTGGAGCTTCTGAACACGTTTAATTGGGTGGACTGGGATGGGGGATTGTAGATTGTCCAACATCGGCACTGCCTCTTGTCTAGGGTGTATCTCTATGCTCTAAATCTAGGTTCTAGATCGTCCAACTTCCGAAGCACAAAAAGGGCGACATCATCCGGACTCCATCACTGTACAACTGGATCAAGATGGGGTTGATCCAGATTGGGACCGTCCACAGCATGAACAGCGCCACCCAGACATACCCGATCATCCTCTTGACACCGGGGTTCAGTCTCGCCCGCAGTGGCCGGGTGAGATCTCGCACAATGCTCTCAATGACGACCCCGACGATCTGCAGACAGAAGAACCACAAGGCGCCGCTCTTGACCATCGGCACCCCGAACCCCACATCCATGAAGAGATGAATGACCCCTGACACCGTGAACGCAAGCAGAGCCCGGAGGGTCCACCCCAGTCGTCCGCTCGGCGATATCCGCAGCAGAGAGAGCAGAAAGTCCGCGTTGGAGGTCAGCAGTTGGCGGAAGGTCTGATGCCACGTTATCCTGTTGCCAGATTAGCTATGCCCTGCCCTGCCATGCTCTGCCATGTCGCAACACCCGGGAAGGGACAGTCACAAGAAAAGGCCCCCCGGGGGGGAAGAGGGAGAAAAAGAAAAACATACCCCCAAAACCGCCTAACCGACCAACCCTCCCACAACGACCCAGCAACAGGCGGCCACATCACCGGCTCATACAGCCCCAACCCGACCGCCACGATGGCGCACACATTATACGAAGCGACGATCGTGGCGCGACCCACGATCCCAAACGAGAGACAGAACAGCGCCCGCACTAGCATCCTCCGCCACACCCCATCCCAGTCCCAGCCCGCCTGAGTATCAGCATCAGCAAACGCGAACGCGAACGGCAACAGCGCCTCCCTCGCCTCAGGCAGCAGCGCCACCGCCTGACCCAGATTCACATCCGCGGTCTCCATCGTACACCCCTGGATCACCACCGCCGCAACGACAACCTTCCCCACGGCGCCGACCAAGAACCGTGCCCGGGACGGCACATACCCCGGCACCGCGGCGTCAAACCGCGGCAGATGCCGGATCTCCCAGGGCGTGCCGATGCGCCGGTAGTTGAAGGCGATGCTGAAGGCCCAGCGCAGTCGGGAGACCCATTCTTGGGAGGTTGAGTCGTTTTGTGTGCGTAGGGGGTTGGGTGGTTGCTGCTGCTGCTGCTGCTGCTGCTGCTGCTGCTGCTGCTGCTGCTGCTGCTGCTGCTGCTGCTGCTGCTGCTTCGCCACCGACCCGTCCACCGACCGCGCGTACTTGGCGAATTCCCACAGCTTCTGCGCCTCGAACGACACCCGGCTCAGCACGAGCAGGTCCACCGCGTTCAGCACGTTCACCCACCCCATCGAGATCAGCGGCGCGCCGAACCGCGTGCCGCCGTAGTGGAGCTGCGCGCTGCGCTGCATCGAGTAGGCCAGCGCGAGGAGGAGGAGGGCGGTGGCCGGGCGCGCGGGGGCGCGCGGCGCGGTGAAGGCCACGACGAGGCCGGCGAGGGGCTGGATGAGGAGCCATTGTATGAGGGGGGTGGGGTCGGGCCAGTTTGGAGGGAGGGTGGACATTGTCCCTGATTGTCAGACCGGGGAAGAAAGGAGGGGGGGGGATAAAGACTACAGTGAGGAGGAGGGTGAGACTGAAGCTGGAGCGTGAGCTCAATGGACTACGGAGAAGGCTGTGTGTGGGCTTTATGGTCGTGCGATATGCAGGTGTGACTAAGCTCCATTGGCATTGCATTTAGTTAAGTTAACTTATCTTTGGTAGACTAAATTGGAATGGGCTAGTCAAGAAGCGGTGTGGACCCTTGTAGTCAATGATGTTGGTCATTCGCTGATACAAGCTGGGGCTGTTGTCGATCCCTCAATTACCCCTATCGGCGATAGTGAAGCCTTCGCCGCCAGGGCTGCCAGATTGCCCAGGCTGCAAGGGACTAGATCTATGCTCGCATTTGATTGGACAGCGGCTTGAACCTAACACAATCCCCTGAAAAACTCACACCACAGAGGCATGCATCAACTGCGGTCATCAACATTACAACCAGTAATGTTGATAATAAAAAAGAACTCCGATGCGGGGAATCGAACCCCGAGCTGCTGTGTGAGAGACGTGGTATCGAGTGCGTCAGAAACACAATGCTAGACTCGGAGCTAACCTGGAACGGGACTAGTACGAAAGGTTCTGATGTGATGTGATCGAAAGGCGGGCGCCCTGCCTTTCCATTACACCACATCGGAAAGTGTGGGCTGCATCATCCGTGAATCGAACACGGGCCTCATCGATGGCAACGATGAATTCTACCACTAGACCAATGATGCTATTGATGGGTTGGGGTTTGGGATTTGGTTATCTGAGCCAAACAGCGGCTGGCGAGTAGGTGTGCATCGGGTTTAATTGCTTCACGTTTATTTGTGGTTAGGTGGGGAGGGTGCTTTTTTTATTTGGGAAAATATGAGCAGTTAGTAAGTCCCCTATTTCCTCGTCTATTCTGACCAGAGTCCATCCCTTGGAGAGTTGGAGTTGTAGTCTTGATCCAGGATCGTCAACCCTGGCAGGGCGGAAGATCTATTTCGGTTCTTGCGGGTGGTTCGAAAGATCCTACCTGGCTGGCCCAGCAGAGATCACACTACATCGCGTCCAAACCCTAGCTTCTTACCGGGGAATCTGGTCCACCAAGCCCTTTGGGTTCGATTATCATCTACCCCCAGTCCTAGTATAATCACATCGACAAAGATGGAGCAGTGCGGGATGAGGCACACGACACAAGGGGCAACAGACTCGTCTCAATAATAGAAGTTACATTTCTAGTACTAAGCTCACCACCAGTCAGATACGACCCTACAGCAAGCGCTAAATACACTGCACGCCTCTGGATCAAAACAGGAACAAAGCCGCCAGCCCAGCTACCAGCATGCCAATGCTCCCCGAAGCACCGACCGCCGAAGCAGCGCCCGTGAACAAGGCGCCTGGTGCTCCCGCGGTGGTGGAACCGTGGACAGACGAAGAAGGGGACTGGCTAGCGCTGCTGGAGCTGGCTGCGACGGGCCAGCTGCTGTTGGTCTGGGAGCCAAACGACCAGGTAGACTCTGCACCTGCAGCGGCGTGAGAGGAGCTCGGGGTTTTGGGTCCCGGCTGGCCCGGGAAAGCAGTGGCATCGGGTCGGATGACGGTCGTGATCGTGGCGGTGGTTGTCTCGCCGCCGCCGGCGGTGTAGAACACGGTCACGAGGGTGGTTTTCGGTCCGGCGGGGATGTATGCGGCGATGGCTTTGACGTCGGTTGGGGAACCTTCGTTTGCCGGTTGGTTGGGGCTGGATGCTGTGGACGCGGAGTTGGGAATTGCATGCTCGGACGAGCTTTGGTTGGTGTGGGTGTTGGGTTCGGTGGTTTCGGCGCTGTTGCTGCTGTTGCTGCCGCTGGCTGGGTATGTCGTCTGGCTGGCGCCGGATGTAGAGCCTGCTGCGGAGTCAGGGACTGAGCCCTGGAAGTTCGGGTGCGTGCTCTCGGAAGAGGCGTCCTTGCTGCTGCTGCTAGCCTGGCCAGCAGTCTCAGCCGATCCAGACCCAGATCCCGAAGCAGAAGAGGGGCGTCCACTGCGACCTTCTCCGATGCCATCACCTCCAGAAGCCGACTGGCCCTCGTCCTGCCCGCTGGACCCCGTCGCACCGCTCTGAACGCCCGAAGCATGACCAAGAACGTCGACCCCAGCCGTGGTAACAGGCTGCACTCCCGATGCCGGCGCCGTCGTAGTACCAGCGGCCGAGAGAGCGGCGTAAGCGTCGACGCCAGCTGCAGCAGTGGGTCGTCCACCGGCCACCGAGACGATCGTGGTGACCATGGCTTCGACTTGGGTCGTGATGTAGGTGGTGCGCGCAGAGGCAGGGCAGTTCTTGACCGTCGAGGGGCACGCGGTCACTGTGTAGGTCAGGGTGCGCTCCACCGTGGAGTAGACGGGTACTTGGTTGTTGGAGCTGGCGTCGGCGTAGCTGGAGGTGTTTTGGGCACCGGAGCTGCCATGACTGTCTGAGCTGCTCTGACTACCGGAGCCATTCTTGCTGCCATCGCCGCCGTGTCCAGCAGTAGCAACCGGCACCTGGGTCTCCGTAGCCGTGACCGGACAGATGGTCGTGTACGCCACCAACGTCTCCGTAGTCACATAGGTCGTATGCTGCGAGGCCGGGCAGTTGGTGACCGACGTCGGACACGCGGTGACGGTGGCAGTGCGGGTGGTGAAAACAGTCGAGGTGGTGGACTGCGGGCCCGAGCCCTGCACGTTGGCCGGCGCAGTGGGCTCAGCGCTGGCAGTGACGGGACAGATCGTAGTTCCGACCACCACTGTCTCCGTGGTAAGGTAGGTGGTGCGCTGACGAGCTGGGCAGTTGGTCACGGTCTCCGGACAGGCAGTCACCGTTGTGGTACGTGTACTGAGGATGGTCGAGGTGGTCACCTCGCCTGCGTCAGACGATGGTCTGGGGCCTTGGGAGATTGAGTTGGGCTGTGAAGTGGGGCTCAGGGAGACAGGCTCGCTGACGCTGGTTTGAGTGGCAAGCGACGGGTGCGTGGATACTGCATTTGAGGAACGGATTGGGCTGGAAACAGGCCGGATGGAAGAAAGAATGACGCTGGAGTGTGGCTGGGAGACTGTTGCGCGGGAGGATGGGATCAGCTGAGATGATGCTGGTCCGGACGGGACAGATACTCGGGTGTTGGAGCGAGTTGCAGACGACGGTTGGATCAGGGGTCTGGACGAGCTCGATAATGCAGCAGATGACGCCGCAGGAGTCACCGACGATGCAGCCGGCGACGATACCACAGGCGTTACAGCGGAAGACACGGCAGGCGACGACACGGCTGGAGACACAGATTGTGTTGAAACTGCTATAGATGACACCACGGGGGTCGAGACAGACGATACTACAGCAGATGATACCGAGGGAGTGGATACCACAATGGGCGACATTGCAGGAGTAGATACCGCAGCAGATGACACCACTGGCGACACAACAGCAGACGACACAGGCGACACAACACTCGCGGTGGGCGTCACGATCTCGACCGACGAGCTCAGCGACGTCGGAGTAGGGGTCGGGGTCGGGGTGACCAGGCTGCTCGTGCAGGTCTCGGTCTGATAGGCAATGGAGATTCCATCCAGATAGAGAGTCGGTTCACCACTCGAACACATAACGTAGAAGTAGGGCCAGGTGACGGAGCTGCCCGCCCCCTGGTACTTGGTCACGTCCATGGACACATACTTCCACTCGGTCACGTCCTGGGTCACGTAGCCCGAGACCAACGGATACTGCTCGTTATCATCAAAAGTGGCGACGAACTGGCACGACGAGGCTCCGTTCAGGTAGAGCTGGTAGTAGAACGAAGTCGTCCACGTGTTGGTGGGAGGGAAGCCATTCCGGTTGCTGGACACCGACAACACGGTTTGCTGGCTGCCACTGTACATAAGGCCCGCCGTAATCTCTCTGAGGTTTATGATTAGCGCGAGCTTGTTCGTTGAAGAGTCAGGAGATCACGGCCAAGCTCACAGAAAGTATTCTCCCTCGGGTGCAGCGTCGGACTTCACCACCAATGCGGAGGATCCGGCGGTATCCCAATAGTTGGTGTTGCCCGTTTCAAAGCCGCCATTGAGCGCATAATTGGCAGTCGTCTCGCTGCAGACGGTGACATATTCGGCCAGAGTGGGGGCCACCGCCAGCAGGAAAGGAATGAAGGACTGCTTCATGTTGGGGTATTAAAATGCGGCAGAACTAAAGGAATCAAAGAGTGACGCAGATCATTGCCGATCGAAGAAAGAATGGACGAAGCGCAATCGGCCTCAATGTCGACGACGGAGGAAAAGCAGGAACAAGAGTACAGGGGAGACTCTTAAAGTACTGTACAAACAAGCTCTCTCCTGGGAGTGGAATCAGTGTGTAGAGCTGATGATGGCGAGCAATAGCCCACCGATTCCAGTTTCGTTGGGAGTGAAGGATCTGTGAATTCAATAGTAGATCGTAAAGTCAGCGTATAGGGTTAGTTTAGCCGACATGCGAGATGGCGTGCACCAGGACGGTCAAGGGACCCGACGGCCAAAGACCTGGCTGATCTAGATCCCCGATGGCATGGTGAATAATCGGAGTCGCCGAAATCAGGATTGAGAATGTATGCGATTTACTTACTATCTCGAAGAGTCAGTAAGTTGGATGATGGTGGACCAGGGTCAGGTGACATCTTCGCTACATGACTCCGTTCACCAGCCACACTGCAATGCCTCAGGAAGAGTGGAATCATATTTCAATCAGGCTGGGGAGAACCGTCTAGATTACCAGTAATCTGATTGTCGGGATCCAACCTTAAAATAGCTCCCGTGCAAGCAGTGTTAGTACAAGTCATTGATGACGCAGGAACATCAGATCTTGTGCAGTAAGTTTATTCATAGAAGATAGAAAGAGTTATCATCGCACCATTACTGGACTATTGTAGTTCTCCAATCGGGGACGATTTTCTTACCAAGAAAATCCACTAACTACCGCTGACATCAAGCCGTTGTGCTAATAGATGACTGACTTGTGCTTCTGTATAGACAACCCACCAAGATTCTTGCTACAGCCCCACAAACTATCCAACAGTTAAATGGCACATTTTATTTGATTGCAAGACAAAGACCCGCATATCCACAAACAAAAAATAACAAAAAGATGGAGCTGCGGGGAATCGAACCCCGGACCTCTCCCATGCTAAGGGAATATTATACCACTAAACCACAGCCCCGTGTGCTGAAAGCCGGATCCAGAGTATGTTATATGGTACTAGCATCATGCTGCAGTCATTGCTGGGTAAGTTCCCGGCGCAGAACAGCGGCCATCCATGGCCATTTCACCGGTGGATCGGCCTCAACCAGTAGATTCAACCGTTGACCCAAGCACTGAATCATTCATCTCTAACCCCGAAATATTACTGCAATATCCCCACCAAAGCCATGACATATATACTTTCACACCAAGCCACCTTCAGCCCTCAAGCCCTTGCTTTCAAGCACTCGTCAAGTATAGCTCTCAAGTACAAAATCACTGGCTAAACCAAGGCTCTGGCACCAAGCCCGAGTGGCTGACTAGCTGTACTGTACATGCCTCCCATTCCCAAGCCAAGAGCATTCGCCAAGCCTCCCCCCCTACGCAAGGATCCTCCTGAACAACGGATCCTGCAGCAGTGTCTCCGAATCCCCCATCCTCAAAGTGACGCACACCTCCCACGGCGCAGTCGCACGGCCCCGGCCCCCACCACCAAACATCCGCGCCGGGAGAAAGATACATCCCCCCGGCACCAGCGCCAGCCCCGGCTCAAAATCCTCAATATATCCTAGCCCCGCCCCAAAGTCCAAGGAATAAATGTCGAGATCCCGCCAGCTCGTCACAATAATCCCCGCGGGCCGGCCTTCGACCGTCGTCCAGTCGTCGTGGTCGGCCACGACGGCCGAGGCGCTGTGCGCCACCGTCTCGTCCATCGCGGACAGTCGGGTGCGCACTCTTAAGGCCAGCTGCGCGAGGCGGCGGAGATCTCTCTCCTCGTCTGTCGTGGGGTGACCCTCTGCCGCGGGGAGGGGCTTCGGTGGGTCGATTGTGTCGTGGATGGGGAAAATCATGTTCCCCACGTATGTATCTGGGATGTGGGGACGCACGCGGTTGCGCAGGTTGACGGCCATGAGGAAGTCCGCTGGTTCGGGGGTGGTGATGGTGGTAGTGGTAGTGGGGGTTGATGCTCGCTCTGGATGAAACACTCGGTCTCAAGGCATCAGCCCTAAAAGAAACCGGCTGGCTTAGCGTCAGAATGGCAGGTTTAAATGCTTGCTAGTACTAGGGACGGTGCGATTGCGTACGCAGACCCTTGCAAATGTCTTATTTGTGCTTCGATGAGGGCTTTAGTGACTTAGTATCGCTTGACTGGAAGAATGTTGAAGTGGCCTTGGTCGGAGTCCAGTCAACATTGTGCTGGTTTCCCTCCCCCCCCCTTCCGAATCCTATAACTAGGTGATTGTTCAGCAAGCCTGAACAATCCACAAAACAACTATCATGAGGAGACTATGGCCAAGACAAATGTCGCTCCGTCGCAGTTACCTGATCATACGCCGCTGATGGTGCGCACCGTGAGGGGTGTGATCGGGACGTGTGCTGTTCTCGCATTGGTGGTCTGCTGCCTGAGGGTATGTCGCCACTTACACAAAACCTGGAACACCCCAATTAACTTCACTGATCATAGCATATAGCTCTATGTTCGCAGATGTGTTATACGTGCTATTGGACTGGATGACTACTTGGTTCTCCTTGCCCTGGTATGCATCGGACTTCTCCATCAGACAACCCAAGACCAATGTTCTGACCGTGCAAGCAAAGGTAATGGTCCTAGCTTTCGCGGCGCTATCACTCATCTTGACCCGGTATGCAATCGGGTACCACCAGAATACTGTTCCCGCCGCGAACATGATCATAATGGCAAAGGTCAGAGATTCATCCATCAAGGAGCTAAAGACAAAACCAGGATGCTTACCTTCACCACCAGTACGTTTACGTCCTCTTTTGCCTGTATCTCTGGGTTGCATTGGCAGTCAAATGCAGCCTGACCGTGTTCATTATGCGCATCTTCCCCACGCCAAAGATCCGCCGCATTGGACTGATGATAATGGCACTGATGGCCATTGTGACCGTGTCCGGCGAGCTGCCTTTGATCCTGCAGTGCTGGCCCGTCCGCGCCACATGGGACAAAACGCTCCCGGACTACCAATGCTTCTCCGATGCCGAGCTGGAGAACCTCCAGCTCTACCAAGCCATCCTGATGCTCCTGTTCGACCTGATGATCATCAGCCTCCCGATGCCAACAATCTGGAGGCTGCAGATGTCTATCCAGCGCCGTCTGTTCATGATTGGGATCTTCTGTCTCGGTAGGAAGACACTTCTCCCTTCTCCCCATTCCAATTCTATCTCCTCTAAAGACTGACTAGATCACAGGACTCGTCGCATGCGCCGCCGGCCTCGCACGCATCCCACTTCTGGGGTTCCAAGACAACTCCACAGACTATACATGTACCATCCACCCCTTTCCCCTGGCCCAGCTGCACATGGTAGCCTAACACCGCTGCGCTAGATGTCGGCGCCGTCCCACTCATCCTCATGAACCTCGAGTACGCACTAGGCTTGATCACCGGATCACTGCCGTCGCTTCGCGTCTTAGTCCGATTCATGCCCGGCCTCAACAGCAGCAAGAGAAGCACGTATCCAACTCAGGAGTGGGAACTGAGTGAGCCGGCCGAGTGTCGACTCGGGGGCCGACCGCGCGGGATGCATCGATTACGAGGCGGCGACGCGAAGAACATCGAGAGCGAGAGTCAGCAGCATATTTTGGAGGTACAGGGGAGTCCTCGCCCCCCGCAAACTGCGGATTGCGGGTGATGGCGTTTGCAAGGGGTGGGGGGCGCATTCATAGACTTTCCGGCAGTATACTAAAGTATGTGTCGCTAGGCACAGGACTATAATTTTCAGTCATGGGAACAGTTAGACGGTAGGCTGTAAGATACTGACACCCCAAGTCGAACAAAAGTCTGTGCCTAGCTGAGCTGACGAAACGAATCTAGGGTGTCAAACATATATGCTCAAAGAAAAAGCAGGCTGTGCATCGCCTCTTCCACCACCACCACCACCACCACCACCCGACAAACACCAACACCAGTCCCCATTCACCAGTACACTACCCCTACACCCCTCTACACCCCCCTTAACCCCGCCAACTCCTTCCGCATAAACGCCGCATAAAACACAACCTCATCCCCGGCGACCCCGACCTCCCTCCACCTCGGCTCCTCCTTCCACAACACATACCCGCGCCGCGCATACCACCACTGATTGCAGCCCATGACGGGCGGCTCGGCGCCGGTGCGGGCCCACACCCCGGTCCCCTCGGGCGACTCATCCAGGTAATGGCGCTCGCTCAGGGTCGTCAGCGCCAGCCACCGGCACTGCGTCTCGGCGGTGGCCGCCAGCGCCTCGACGAGGTCCATGGCGCGGCTGCCCAGCCCCAGGCCCCGGTACGCCGGGAGGATGAAGAGGGTCTGGACGGTGAGGACGGCGCGGTCAGCGCGGGCGAGTTCCTCGTCGGCGGGGTCGCTGTACGCGTCCAGCGAGATGTGGCCCGCGTAGACTACTTTGTTCTCCCCACGGGCTTCTGTGGAGGGGATTGCTGCTGGGTCCGGGATGCACAGCCAGTAGAACCCCTTCAGGCCTTCGTCTTGCTTGCGCTTCCAGCTTTCCAGCTTGGGGAGGTCGTGGTCCCAGCCGCAGATCTGGCGTTGGCGGTGGATCTCGGCGAAGTCGGCGGGCGAGTGCAGGTTGATTGGGGCGAGGTGGCAGGGGGGGGTGGTGGGTTTCATTTTGTTGGTTTCTGTTCTGTTGTGTATCATGTGGTGTGGTGAATGACGACTTGTGGGGGTGTGTTGTGTGTTGTGGAGAGGAGTTGATTTTTGATGTTCTGGAGTGGGCGGAGGAGTCACTGATAAGGGAGGCTCTGTGGCACTAGTGCTTACGTGCTTAACGGTTTTGATTAAAGATGGAGGCAGAAACATAAAGGTAATAAGTAAGACACGCTAATATCGATTAGGTTCTGGGGGAGATGTCTAGACGAATTAGCTCCCTCTTCATGGCGCAATGCCGATGTTTTTATGCGCTAAAAAACATTACCACAATTATTATACAGACTTGTTCCCTTGGAAGAACCTTTTCACCACATCACCGCCCCGATGAAATGCACCAGCTATGAATCGATCTCAATGGACCAGTGCGGGCTTTGTCTTCGTACAATGACATTTTTGGTCGACCACCGAAAAGAGTCAAGTCACGACGACGACAACCATTTGTCGACAGCCACCTGCATCAGTCTCGCCGTATATTCCACCTGCGCATGTCATTAGAGATCACACAGAAAACAAAAAACCAAAGCGCAACTTACCACCTCCGGATCCATCAGCGTATCGTGATGCGCATGGTCGATGACATGACACTCGACGTTCTCCTCCCCGACCATCTCCGCCCAACCCCCGGGGCCCATCGACTCCCGCGGCGTCTGCAGCCATTCCTGACTGGTGCGCACCTGCGTCTCGGGGCCACACCGCTGCAGGATCTCGTCCGCCTCCACCAGCACGGCGGACAGTCGATCGGGATCGCCGTGGCCCGCCCAGATCACGAAGATCCGGACCGGAGTGGAGTCCTCGCTGGCCGTGCGCATCGGGCGGGGCGAGTATTTCAGTTTCGCCCGGACCGAGGCCAGGCTGTGCTCTCGCCGGTACGACGGGATCTCCATGTCGGGCTTGCCGGCGCGCCGGATCGCCGGGTAGAAGCCGACGATCTCCAGCAGCTTGACCGTGGGCTCCAGGACGTGCGGGTCCGGACGCGGCAGCGGCATGTCCAGGTTGATGATGCCTAGGACTTGCTGGCCCTGCTGCCGGAGCTGGTAGGCCTCCTCGTAGGCGAGGATCGCGCCCATCGACCAGCCCCCCAGCAGGTATGGGCCCTCGGGCTGCAGTTTGCGGATCGTCTTGACGTACAGCGCGGCCGCCTCTTCGACTGTCCAGGTGGCGTCGGACTTGCTCATGAGGAAGGGCGAGCCCAGCGCGTAGACGGCTAGGTCGTTGGCGAATTTCGGGAGCGGCTCGTACGAGAAGGCGTAGCCGGAGCCGGGTGGGGTCATGAACAGGCAGGGGACGCCGGGCTTGGGGGTGCCTTGGATGAGGGTGGAGAAGCATTCGCGGGGTGTTTCTTGCGTGGCGGAGTCGATTTCGAGAAGGCTGGATGGGTCGGTAGAGGATTGTAGACGCTCAATGAGCCCGCCGATGGTGTGGGGGGTGAAGAAGAGGGATGATGGGAGAGACACGCCTGTCTCCTGTCGAATCTGGTTGAGCAGCGCAATTGAGGTGATGGAGTCAATTCCGAGGTCAATCATTCGCATGGTCGGGTCGATATTCTCGCCCTTTGCGGAGGCAATGGCTGCTAACAGGGATTCTATGAGCTGCGAGTTGGGATGCGACTCAAGTGTTTCCTGGCCACTTGCTTCGATCGCTTCCATCTCCTCTGCGACCGTGTCAGCTGCCAGCCAGTTTGATAATGTGACGCTGCTGGCCATGTCCTTCCAGATCTGGGACTTGATCGATTCGAGCAAGCGAACGTCAGCATATGCTGCTAGGTTGACATTCACATCCATCATCGTCGCATCGTTGAGCCCCGATGCTTGGGCCCAGGCTTGTTTCAGCTTTGATTCAAGCATCGCGCGACTGTATAATCTGCTGCGTCCTTGGGACTTCTGGGCTCTCCAGTAAACCTCGACCAGCTCGGTCAGTTTCGACTTCTGGACCTTGCCGGCCAGGGTCCGGGGATAGTCATCCAGCCCTAAGGCCGACACCGGAACCACACCCGCCGGGACAAAGAGAGCCCCCATCTTTGTGCGGACGGTATCTTTGAGCTGGCGTGCCATCTGCTCGTCGACATTCGTCCGCACAACCGCAACAGGCACCTCACCAGCAACCTGATCCGGTGCTCGGACAACCTGTGGCTCAAGCGCATGGAACTCCGCCGTCTGGCCCAGCACCGCCTCAATGGCCGAGGGCTCGATATTCTCACCCCCTCGAATGATCGTGTCGTTATACCTTCCCACCAGATACAGCCGCCCATCCTCCCCGACAACCGCTTTGTCCCCCGTGCAGAACCACCGCCGGCCGTCCTCGCCGGTGTAGAACTTCTCGTCGTCCCTGTTCCCGATATACCCATCTATCAGACTGGGCCCGGAGAAATGCACTTCCCCCACGGCTCCCATCGCGACAGGGACTCGACTACCTTTGGCACAGATGCGCACCTTCGCGCCAGGCAACGGCCGCCCAATCGAGACATCGCGGCCCGAAATCACCTCGTCGACGCTCTCCGCCGCGTCCGTCGACACGACAATTCCCTCGGTCATGCCGTAGAAGTTCTCCACCGCTTGCGTCCCGAGATGGCTCAGACAGATGCGGAGCACCTCCTCCGTCGGCGGCGCACCGGCCAGGACCACCCGTTTCAGGAAATGCAGCTTCTGCGCCGGCGCGACCGCCACGCCACTCAGAGCATGCAGCATGGTGGGCACCAACGCGGTGTGCGTACAGCGTTCCTGGCGGATCGTCTCGATCAGTCGCTCGGGAGCGAACGCTTCGCCCGGGAAGACGATGGTGGCGGCATTGAGGAAGGCAGCCATGAGGAACATATACCCGAAGGCGTGGTTGTTGGGCAGCACGACGGCGACGCGATCGCCGGGGAGCATGGGCCGGTTGGGGCTCGATCGCCACGCGCGGGCGACCGTCGTGGGGAAGGCGGAGGCCTGCACGAAGCAGCCTTTGGGCAGGGAGGTGGTGCCGCTCGTGAAGAAGATGGATGATTCCTGCTGGTGCTGCCGGTGTGGCTGCTCCAAGGAGTCATCCGACAGACGACTACCATCGTCAGAAAGTTGGCTGACATCAGACCGACGGTCCTCGTCCTCGTCATCGTCCTCGTCCCGTTCCTCCTCCGCCAGCTGCACATCCTTCCCCCCTGGCTTCGCGACATGCATAAGCTCCTCAAACCCAACCCACCCATCCCTAACCCCTACCTCTCCGCTTGATATCGCAACCAAACAGCACTCGACCTGCAGCTGCAACCCCCGAACCAACCCCGCAACCCGCTCCAACCCAGCAGCAGCAGCAGCAGCAGCAACAACCACCACCACCGAATCGGGCTGACACGCCCCCACCGCAGTCTCAAGCATATGCAGCGCCTCCCTCTCATGCCCTAAGCACCTCGGACTCAACGGCACATGCACGCACCCAATCCGGTACGCCGCCCACGTCGCGACCACGTATTCCGCTGTATTCGTCGCAAACAGCACCATCAGCGAACCCCTCCCCACCCCGCGGCGGCGGAGATTCGTCGCGAACCGCTCGATCTTCTCGTCGAGTTGCGCGTACGTCCAGCGCAAGCCCTCTGCACTGGACTTTTGTGGCGTTGTCGAAGACGCTTCATCTTGGACGGTATAGAGGCTCGCGGGCTGGTGGGGACAGACCAGCGCGAGCGTGTCCGGGTGGTCGCGCACATTTTGCCGGAATTGTTGGGTTAGGGAGGGGAAGGAGTTTGCGAGGAGCGGAGGGGGCCCGGTTAGGGAGCTGGGTTGGGCCATTTGCTCTGCTGTGGGCGGGGTGTCTTTTGGGAAAGAAGATGAGTGGGTGGTGAGGCGATGTTGCTCTTGGGGGATGGGAGGATCAAGAGCCTGACGAAGGAGGTAAAGATAGGTATGCTTGCGGGCACTGGAAGCCTGGGTCGACCAGGCGGGACTTGCCTTTCCTGAACCACGTGCAAAATACAAGAGTACAGGGAAGCAGCGATGTGGGGAGGGGGTGGGATGGAGTCTAAATGGGATTTCCGCGATGCAGTCGACCTAATCAGCTAGACCTGGCTGGAGTCGCTGGACTTATTTACGGGGCACATGGTTCATCGACTACCGGACCACTGGGGCATGCAGGGTTGTCAAAGTGAAACGATCTGCAGTGAGGATTCGCTGCGTACGAGTTTGTGACGAGAAGGTTGTTTACTGACTGACCTAGACTAACTCCTATGGGTGAATAGTGATCGAGTGAGGTGGGTCTTGGGATTTAGGTCCTAGGAGCAAAAGACTTGGACTTGCAACATCGAGGCAGGGATGCACCATCTTCCCGTCCATGCTTAATCTTCAATGCGGAAGAGTATCCTACATGCGTATCGGACCAACGTAACAAGATAGAGCACCACATGTTCTATGTAGTACAAAACAAAAGCAAGACCCCAAACCCCCAAGATCCCAGCATCAACAACAGAAATAAGAACGCAGTCCCACCCAAATCCAAGGCCGGACACCATACTTAGTTTAGTGTACGTAGTTACGGGGAACTCCCTGCAAAATTACAACCCCCAAGATCGACCTCCAAACAACCAGATCCGTCCGATTCTCCCGAGAGCTGAAAAGTGGATCCCCGAAAGAGGCCTGCTTGCCGCGCATTTGTGATACGGGTATTTTACACATACGCCCGCCACAGACCCACCACGCCCTCCCCCCTCTTCACAGAACACCGAGGAGTGATCGACTGTCATGCAGATGCATCACCTCCTCTCGTCTTCAAGCAGTTGAGAAGGGACAGCATCATGACGCTGATCATGGCCCAGACTCACCGGGATGATGCATGGCGATGGGCTACAAAAAGTGTATGTAACCTGGTGCTGTCAGATTTAGTCACTTTGAGGGCTGGCTGAGTCCACGCCACGAACCCATCCTCATCTTTGACGCTAGACTTGCATCATCGTCGCTGCTCGGGTCAGTGCCCTGCAGCAACCCCCCCCCTTTTCTTTTCCCTTTGCTGTTCCTTTTCCGACAAAGTACTCCGTAAAGAAGGTTAGATATGATATGATGTAAGAGAAATTCGAGATTCGAACCATGGACAAACCACCCGACTCCACGGGTAGATCCAGATCGACCAATCAACTGCAACAAGTGGGGTGGGGATGGCCGATCTTTTCCATCGCTTCGGGTGTTTGTTTACTTCGTATCGTATCGAGCGGAGAAGAATTTCGCACTTCTAGCCAGGCTAGCCAGGAAGCGGTGTAGACTTTTGCTCTGGAAGAAGCCCTGAGATTGAAATTAAAGGATCATGCTTTTAACCTCTCCATCATAACTATCGACAATTTGACATTACATATTACTCATACCCAGGAAGCTACTTCAGGTTGTGCTTCTCACTGAGACGATACCGATAATGGTGGGGTGGCCTGGAGGCCCGGGGGAAGCCCCCTCACTCCTCGACCTGCTCCTTCTTCGGGAACAGCACGATTAACCCCACGATCGCGGAAAGGAGTAGAGCGGATGCTATGCTCATTGTCAGAATGACTATCTACTCATAGGCAAGGGCATTGGGGGGGGGGGCAACATACCCGGAATAATCCGATACGCCTCGATAAAACTCTCCTGCACGGCCAGCTGGATCCCGTGCGGCAGCGTGCTGGTGAAGTTATAATCCTGGACGATATGCTCGATCAACTGTCGTCCAAAGTTAGTGGTCACATTTCATCCCGGCGCCATATACACAGTGGAAAGGAAACACCTACCTCCCGCTTCCCTGCGACCTCCCCCAACCCTACGGCCACCCGCGCCCGAAACACCCGCTGCAGCGCGGCGGCGCTGACGCTCGTCCCCACGATCTGGCCCACCTGCTGCGCGAGGTGGTACACGGCGATGGCGCTGGCCAGCTGCTCCGCGGGCGCCCGGATTGTCAGCGCGATGAACTGCGCCGACAGAAAGAGGCCGCCGCCGATGCCCCAAGGGAAGCAGTACAGGACTTCGAGGGGCTGGATGCCGTGCAGCCAGCGGAGGACCATGAGGGTTAGCGAGACGAGAGTGATGAAGAGGGCGATGAGGGAGAGTTTGCGGGATTGGAGGTTTCTGTTGGCGCGTTTTGTTAGAGTCGCTGTGGCGGGTGGTGTGGTAGGACTCGGTGGCTGCTCACCTGCTGAGGGCTTTGCCGGCGATGATGGACCCGGAGATCAGGCCTAGGGCTGCAGGCCAGATGCGGATCGCGATGGCGGAGTTGGAGAGGTGGTCAATTCGGTAGAGGTAGGCGGGTAGGTTGTTCAAGATCTGTGGGAGTGGTTTAGAGTCAATTTTGGGAGGGGGGGGGGGAATTGTGGTAGGGATCAGGGGATAAACTCACGGTGGTGACGGTAGCGAAGTAGATGACCTGGCCACCGAAGATGGCCCCAAGCCCCGGGGAACAGACAATCGAAGGGGGGATAATGGGGTGCTTGGTCCCGAACCGCTCAATCAGCACAAATACCATGAGAAAGATCCCCGAGACGGCGAGCAAGGCTGGAGTCTGAGACGAGAGGTAGGCGATTCCCCCCTCGGTGGTCGCTAGGATGAAAGACGTGACCAGGATGAAAAAGCTGGCCACCCCACAGTAGTCGAAGTTCCACAGACTCAGGTGCTTGGTTGAGTGTGTCTCAGTGGCCGGGGTAGTCGAGAACTGCCATTGCGCGAGAGCCAGACAGAGCATCGCGATGGGGGTTTGACCGATCAAAGACCTGAGCATCAGTGTCAGTCCAGTCACTGGAGTTGATTCAGCCCAAGGCTCAGAGCCTACCATCTCCAGCCGACCAGGTCGGCGACTAACGCCCCCAAGGGTCCTCCACAGCCCTGGCCGACGATCCCAGCTGCGATGATGTAGCTTCGCACTGATGCGACTTCCGTGATGTCGAACATTTCTTGGGGTCCCGTCAGCATCGCCCTGTATCCCCGGTATGACGAGATTTACCGTTCACCAGAACCGACAGGAGATCGGTCATGCCTGCACCGCCCATTCCTGAGATCAAGCGACCCAAAACAAAGGGCCATAGGGTATCGGAGATGCCACTGTGGAATCCAGCATGAGTTGAGGCCCATATCAAATCACAGAGTCTCGATGAACGACGTACGAGATCAAACATCCAACCGCGAAGAGGCCGTACGCCGAAAGAAGGAATCGTCGACAACCGTAGATGTCGCTCAGGAAGCCATACTAGATCGAGTGCCGTCAGCCGTCATCCTTGGTATTGAAGTGGCAGAGGGCCACAAACCACCGGCAATGCGATGCAGAATCCCACATTGTAGATGACCAGCAGCAGCGACGCACTGGACGGCGAATGCAGCGACGAGGCGATCTCGCCTTGAGTCGCCAACAGAATGGACTTATCTGCGCTCGCGAGGAAGACACCTGCGGTGCGATCTCCAGTCAGCTTGAAGATTATTCACGGATTCAGACATCACGCACCAACTAAGCCCGCCAAAATCCTACTGAAGTAGCCTTGGCCGGTCGGCGGACGGTCGCCTTTGCCCAACAACGGAGTCTGTTCATGCGCCATGCTGGTGTAAATTCGACGGAAGCCGAAACCATGAGAAGCAGAAGTGAGCACAGACGGAATGACGTCCGAATTATCACTGCGTTATCACTGCGCCGTCTGAGCTCCCAAGCTGAGTCGGGCAAGGCTCGGTCCCCTCAGCTCGGGCAGGGAAAGTTAGGGCACATCAACTAATTTGCACCTAAACGGAAAGGGGCAATGCACCGGACGATCGTCAAGCCACTTCATGCAGCCAAGACAATAGTTCATGATCATCGTGTCACAATCCTGTCACAACCGGTGTCGCACTGTCAATCGGAGACACAAATCCTCCGATTGTTTACCGCTAAGGCAGACAGACCCACCGGGGGTGGATCGATCGCGATGCAGCTTGATGCAGCTTGACGACAGCCGATCCTCGATACATGCCGCATACGCCGTCAGAAACAAGAGGGCAAGTGCGATCTGCAGCAAAAGGGGTCGTGTCTGCACGCTGCAGAATCACTCACTCACTCGGTATAATTCTATTATAAGCCCAAAGGGTCTGCTGACGGGCGATCGTCATCTTTCACTTGACTGACTCTGTAGTATTATCCACAATTGGCCCTCCCCGATACACAAAATGAATTTCCTGTCGCGGTCACTGACCACCCCGCCAGCGACGGCGGCAACAACCACGCCTTCGCCCGCAGTCGAGATTCTCAGGCACTTTCAACAAGAACACCCAGACATCAAATTCCTGCGCTGGCAATGGCAGGACTACTCGGGCGTGCAGCGGGCGCGCGTGGTTCTGCTGGACACCGCCATCGCCCAACTGGCCGAGGGCCAACCCATGAAAGCGACCGGGCTGGCGCTGACCTGCTCCGTCGACAACCACCTCATCCCCGGCACCCCGACCGACGCGCAGTTCTGGCTCGTGCCGGACTGGACGACGCTGCATCCGACCATCAGCCCGGGGAGCGCGCAGGTGCTCTGCTCGCTGGACTACACCCTGCCGGGGCAACCGATGACGCAGGCGCTGTGCCCGCGCCACACGCTCTCTCGGGTGCTCGAACAGGCCCAGACGCGATGGGACCTCTCCTTCCTCGTGGGATTTGAAGTCGAGTTCGTGATCATGAAGCCGCACCCCGAGACCGGCAGGCTGGAGCGCTACAGCCGGGGATGGGGGCTGTTCTCGGTCGCGGGGCTGCGCGACCCGTGCTACACGCACGTCGAGCAGTGCGTGCTGCAGCTGCAGGCGCGCGGGGTCGACATCCAGGCGATCCACACCGAGGGCGTCCGCGGCCAGTACGAGTTCGCGCTGGGGCCGAAGCCGCCCCTGCAGGCGGTCGACCAGCTGCTGCTGGTGCACGGCTACCTGAAGGACACCTTCGCGCCGCTGGGGTGCGCCGTCACCATGGTCCCCAAGCCCGTGCCGGGCGACCCGCTGGCCAACGGCCAACACACCCATCTCTCGCTGCAGCCGAGCCCCGCGCCGGAACTCGAGGCGTCGTTCCTCGCGGGCATGCTGAAGCGGCTCCCCGCGCTGTCTGCGTTCTGTCTGCCCCAGGATGTCTCGTACGAGCGGCTCAAGCCGTTTGTTGGCGGCGCCGATGCCGTGGGCTGGGGCACCGAGTGTCGGCTCACGCCGGTCCGCAAGCTCGAGCCCGGCCGGTGGGAGATCCGCTGCGTCGACGCGATGGCCAATATGTATCTCACGCTGGCGGCGGTCATCGGGGCCGGGTTGCTGGGGTTGGAGGGCCGCGAGCCTCTGGTCTGGCCGGATCTGGGGGATCCGGTGAATGCGAACGCGGACCCCGGAGAGCCGCTGCCCAAGAGGCTGGAGGAGGCGCTGGACGTGCTGCACGCGGATGCGGACGGACTGGCGAACGTGATCGGGAGGAGGATTATTGATCTGTATGTGGCGACGAAACGGTTCGAGGTGGCTTCGCTGGCGAAGTTAGATCCAGAGGAGGTGCGGGGGTTGTTCGTTGAGTTGTTCTAGATGACGCGGGCCGTCTTGTTCTCGAAGTTTATTCTAATGTAATGCTTGGGTTGTGATGCTTGTGCTATTGTGGAAGTGGAGTGGTAAACAGGAGGTCGTCAGATGGCCGCACAACAATATATCACTGCTATATAATGCTTCGATGTCCGTAATAAGTGTCCTGTCGTGCCCATAATCAGCGCAATGATGCTAATATTCAGCCGAATGATGACTCTATATTGCGTGTTCATTTATCCCCCCTCTTCTGATTTTTTATTCTCGCATCTTTTGTACTCTCTTCACCCATCTGGGCTCGGCGGGGCTTGAACCTTGGGCCCTCGGCTCATTTATACGTAGCTTGTTGAGAGGAGAACTTGTAAGAAACCGGTTGAGAACATAGCAAGCAATCAGCATCATTGGTCTAGTGGTAGAATTCATCGTTGCCATCGATGAGGCCCGTGTTCGATTCACGGATGATGCACTCACTTTTTTGTTTTTGCTGGTCTTCTACCCGGAACACCGATCACCAGCCGCATGGATTGCCACCTTTTATCCCTGAGTATTCAACCCACCACTTCTTTGTGCATGCTGTCCCTGCAGTCCCCGGGCGGCGAGAATCACCATCAAGCATGATCCACATTCGTCCAAAGTCACTGGTAGTCTTTGTACACACAGTACATACAGCACAAAAGTTCCCTATAATTTGAACCTACACAACCAGCAACTCCCACTCCACCTCCCCCGGCTCCTTCCAATACCGCGTCCCACTCCGCCGAAACCCCAACTTCTCCAACGCCCTCGCACTGCGCACATTCGGCCGCTCCGTCTCCGCAATGAACCTCCTCACGCCGCGCTCCGCCACCGCCCACCGCATCACCGCCCCCGCCGCCTCCGCCGCGATCCCCTTGCCCCAATGCCCCGGCGCCACCCCGTAGCGCACCTCGACCATCTCCTCCCACGGCGGAAGGGGCGGGTCCCCGGCCTCGCGGGCGGGGATCGAGGTCGTCGTGCCGTCGCGGACGCCGGCGTAACCTACCCACTCGATTTGATCCAGATCGGTGGGAAGACGGGTGACATCCTCGCCTGTTAAGATGGTGATGTCGGTGCTGGAGGTGGATTCCGCGGCTATGGGGATGGGGATGGGGATGGAGGAAGGACGTAGCCCCACGGCGCAGTCGCCCATCCCGCGGACGCGCCAGCAGCGCGCGATGTCGCGGGTTTGAATCACCTCTCGGGTTTCCGGGTCGGTCCATTGGCGGACCGGGAAGTGGGCGCCGAAGCCCATGGTGCAGAAGTCGGGGTTGGCGTGGAGGGAGGCGTACAGTTTGCGGTAGGTGGGGGAGGAGATGGCGATTGGGGTGGGGAGGATTATGAGTCGGGGGGTTAGGATGGCGAAGGGGGTCCAGGGGTGGTTGGGTGGTTCTGGAGGATTCATCTTGGGGTTGGATGGATGTATATCATCAGGTATTACTAGGTAATTATGTAGGTACTGTGGTTGATGTAGGGTGCAGTGATGGAAAGAGGACTCGAAGACAGCCGCGGGCGGCTGGACAGGGCCAATGTTCTGGAACCCAGCCTGTTATGGATTAGCGGGGGTTCGGGGACGGGCCGGCCAACAAAGTGCGTGTCTGTGTCAGTCTTGTGTCAGTGTCAGTGTCAGTGTCAGTGTTCACAGCCTGGGGGAATGGGGAGGGGAGTCTGTTTGCAAAGTCGGACTCTCATTATTGCATCCATGCCGCGCGTTCCGAATCATCCATCAGGTCTTATTCGGCGTTGCAATCACCACATCCCCCCCCGCGATGACGTCAACAAGGCCAATGGCTGCGGAGATCCAGCCGGGGACATCAACCCATATTTTCACTTAAGGCAGCACGTTATCTGATTTACGTCATGCCTTGGGCACTCCTCACGGGTATAAAGAATGCGTCGAATGGCAGGTCGAACGCCTCGCTAGCCAAGAAATTCTAAGTCATACCTACCATCAAACCAAAACTAAAAGCAGAACGATATCCACCACATTAAACCAACCCCCACCATGTCAAGCTTCCTGCACAAAGCCGAAGACGCCCTGCATCTGCATCACAACAAGCACCCCTCCCAGGACCACGACCACCACCACGCTCAAGCACCCGAGCAGCCACAGCAACACCATCACCACCCACAACAACAACCCCACGACCCCAGGGCCCCTGCGCCGCCAGCCGTAGCTCACGAAGGTTCGACATTCCATCCCCGTGCTCCTTTACTTACCCAACTAATCATCTTTTGGTTAACCCAGGCACCCACCACGACCACAGCCACCACGGCAAACGCGAGTCCCACCACCCCAGCCCCGCCGAGATCGCCCGCGCGGATTTCATGGCCGACCGGCAGTACGACCGGATCTTGAAGTCGCCGGACCACGGCGCGGGGATCGGGTTTGAGATGTGAGAATCTGGTCAAGACAGAGATGTAGGAGGATTGGCCATCGGCAATGAAAGCGAGTCTTTGAGTGTGGAAATATGAATAATGGATAATGTATGAAATATGTTTCTTTGTGTTGTGATTGTATGCTCGGGTCTTGGCGTGGCTGGGGATTGGTTAGTAATCACTTTATTGGGGACAAGCTCCGCCAAGTCGGGTTTGTTTGGGCAGTCGGTAAGTTAGAGAAGGTGGGGTGCGTGCATTGCATTGTTGGCTTTGCTGTAGGAATGGCGTAGGGTAAGTGTTGATTTTTGGAATGTTGCTAGGTTAGATCGATGAGGTGCGTGGGCATCTGTGTTGGAGTGTTCAAGAGACCATCTGCAACAGCAGGGGTATTGAGCAGTATCCAAAAGACAACTAGTAAAAGGATAAAAGCTAAGTATGAAAAGAAAAGAAAAAAAAATCTCATTCTCAACTATACGTATGTACAGAGATACACAAATATGTACTGCAACGAAAATAAACAGACACCCAGGGTAGTTATCCGCATTCCCACACGTTTACTTCCCTCTTCCAGGGGAATCAAATTTCCAAGAACCTTTGAACCACCAATGCAAAAACTTTTCTCCGCTGGCGGCGTGCAATCCAGGCACGCTCCATATAACCTTTGCGAGCCAGCCACCTCTTCCCACTATACAAATACAAACACAGACACACATCACAACCATCACAAACCTTACAGCAACCTTCCTCACGGCAGACCCTCCACACGGCAGGATCAAATCAAATCCGAACGATACGCCCACAAATACTTCGCGATGGTGCGCCACCCCTCCTCCCCAGACCGGCGATTGTAGTCCAACCCCCTGGCCTCGAGGGTGGTCTCGGCAGCGCGCTCGGGGGTGCGCGCGAAGCCGCGGAACTGGGCGAGGATTTCGTGGATGCGGGGCGCGTCGGTCCGGGTGGAGAAGATGGTCTGCTCGTAGAGGCCGCGGAGCCCCAGCAGCAGGAGGCCGTGGCGCGGGTGGTGGGCGTAGAACTGGACCATGTCGCCCTGGACGATGCCGGCGAAGGAGACGCGCGGGGCGCGGGCGTCGTGGCGCGGCCACCGCGACATCAGCATCGGCCAGTCGGTGCCCTTGAAGGCGCTCTGGCCCGCGATCAGCGTCAGGTGCGTCCCCGTGCTCGCGCTGTGCACCGTCAGCGTGTCGTACCCGCGCGCCTCGTACTGGCCCCCGTGCGCCAGCGAGTTGTGCACCACCGGGTCGTCCCGCTTCACCACGAACCCCTCGTGCACCGGGAAGTACTGCATCACGAGCGCCTGCCACGTGGACGGCGGGGAGGAGTGCTGCTGTCGGTACGGCCAGTAGCCGTAGTGCGGGGTCCGCGTGAGGCCGTAGCATTCCATTTGTGTCGGAACTGAAGGGCTAGGTTTGGGTTAGGGTTGGTGGTGGTTGTAGCGCAGGGCTAAGTGTATTGGTGGGAGGTAGTGTTAGCCTGAGAGAAGCAGTTCAGATAAGAGGGTCACCTTCTGTTTGCTTGTTCTTGTTCTTGTTCTTGTTCTTGGAATTTTGAGTTTATGATTGGATCGGTTGGGGCGTTGGGCTACCGTCACGGTGGGTTTACAAGGTTGTTCGTAAGCCATAAGCGTTGCGAGTAATGAGCTGATAAGTTGGCGCAAAGGGGAAGGGGCCGAAGGAGCTGGGCTCAATGAAATATTTATAAGTTCGGCTGGGACGGAGCCCTGAAGAGCCTTCGTTTACCTTTGTTTGCATCGATCTTGATGGCTCTGCAAGGCCTCGTGGTTGTGTGAACTGAGGCTTGTCGTGGCTTTGATGTATAGAGGAGATCTCCGGCAATCGGCGCTGGGAGTGATAAAGCCTCTTTTTGGGTGGATCGAGGACAAAGATATTGTATGAATTAGCTGGTTAAGACAAGACTATCTTTAGTATCTTTTATTAGTTGTTATTGGTGGAATTACCTTCATTCAGAGTGTGAAAACAGCGACGACGGGGTCACTCGTGCTTTGCATGGGTGCTGGCCATGTGTGGAGGTTTGGAGGTGAGGGCGAGAGGGCTTCTTTGTTGCACTCCCCGTCTCCACCCACAACAATGCCATTGTTCTTTATCCACGCTCCGCCTGGTCCATCGACGCCAAAGCATCTTTTATCAGCGCCTGTGTACTTCGCCGCACCAAGTGAACCCCGAAGCAGTTGATCGTATTTTTCCAGGAGGACCAGCGGGCCCGGTCAAAAGCCTTGGATTCCTCCGCCTCCGGCTCATCCACTTGATCCCCGGCCACGCAGGTATCCCACATGGGCTTCCCCGCCAGGGCGATCCAGAAGCAAGCGGCGCGGACCGCCTCTTCCTCCAGCGCGTTGACGTCGGCATTCTCGAACGCGCGGGCGCACAGCCGGAGTCCCAACCGGGAGAAGTCCATGCGATGGCCGAGCCGCGGGATGGCGTTCGTCAGCTGGGCGATAAAGCAGTTGCGATTCTCCCACTCCTGCACCTCCTGCGGTGGATAGTCCCGGCAGTGATCCCCGCAGGGCGTGCGGTTCTGCATCCTCGTACACCGGCAAGCGGGGAACCCCTTGAACACGTCCAGCGGGGCGAACGTGTACCGGTGGTTGATGTATTCGCGGAGGCTGGGGAGATCGGTCCACATCCGGTCGGCGAACGCCACTCTCACGATGCCGCCGCGCCCGGCCGAGTCGTGCACCGCCGTCCGTTGCAGCTGCATGACCAGGTCCAGCAGCTTGGTCTGCTCGTCGGGAGGGAGGAGATAGGCGAGCTCGCACAGCGATTGCATCGTGTGGAATGCATGCTGCTGGTTGAGCCGGTTCCGCACGTAGGGCCGGTGGGTATTCCGCCCCTGCTGGAACTGGCTGTCGCGCTCCTGCAGGAGTTCCTGGACGGCCTCCTCCGCGGTCTTGTCGGGGTTGTTGACCAGCGCATGGATGATCCAGAACTCTCGGCGTTGGGTGAGCCGCCTTCCGAACCCGTACTCCCGGATTCGACCTGCCATGATACCGTCCATGATGTCAGTTGTAACAGAGGTTGGTGATTAGAGACTCAATGGGGGTGGATTACCTTGTGAAGTTGGGGAGGTTGGTGGGCTAAATTGTGGCAGCGGTGAGTGACTTATATAGACGTCTTCATCCTCAATACCATCATCTACGCTGATTAGACAAAGGGATGGTGTATCTTTGTTGCTTACAATCGATAGGAGAAGATCGTCACTCTGTCAGGGAGCACCCTCTCAAAGATGTATAAACAAAAGATGTCACGTGCATTATACCTACTCGAGATCTTTGTACGGTGGAGGCTTGGCCATTTGGACGTAGCTAGACCAACCATGGGTCAGAGCTGATGTTCATTATAGGACGCAGAAGGAAAACTGCTTGTGTCTGGGGCTGGAACTGAGTGAGAGGAAAAGCAGCAATCATAAGATATCGCGTGGGGTTGCTATTGTGCACTAAGTATTGTGTCATAATGTTCAATGCTTGATCGATCATTTCTGCAAGTAGCCATGGAGAAAACACGCTGTCTGCTACGTAGCCCCTCCAGAGCTCTAGGCACGTGGCATACAGACACCATCCGTTAGCTCTGCTCACGCTCCACTGCGGGCTCGTCAGAATGGGACCCAGCATGACAGGCTGCAGCATTGGAGCGACTAAGGGACAACGTGGGACAATCCTCTTAAATGATCAACAAGACAATGCATTAGCGTGGCTACTGGATCAATTCACTGAACCCCTAATGACGCACGGTCTTCTTCGCGGTTATGGCATATACTCCATTCTGACTACTAGTGTATGTCAGCCGTAGTCGAGTAAAATTCACCTTGGATTAGTTGTGGTATCTTTATCAAGCACCGGTTATTGCCTTGCAGGAATTATGAGACAATTACATTAATCGACTTTGAGTTTTGATCGATGTGACGGGACAAGGATTCAGGCACAAGTCGCATTAGGGCTGAGACGGATAAACACTTGTGTGTAGCTTGCCGATGCCTTGGATACTGTGTATATGAGATTTAGACAGAATAATCCCTTTCCTAATGTGTGAGTGTCTCTATCACTTGGAAATATAAGTCTAGAGTTTGGAGCCTCTAAGAGGAGGAGGACGAGAAACTAAGACTACGTCCATACTTAAACAGTGAAACTCCCAAGTGGAAAGGCCTGGTGGTGTCAACGTCAATCAAGAGTTACAACCTTAACCCTCACCTTGAAAACCAGATTGCGAACTAACTCCTATAGAGTTTATACAACGTTGGAGGTATTTAGAAATGCAATAGATAAGTGCATTTTCACAACCATAAGTTGTATAGGATGGCTCCCCACTGTGGCGATGAGTTTATAACTCCCCGAGCCGTATCTAGAATAATGCCTTTCAGAAAGCCTGTAAAACAGGTATAGTCTACTTGTTGAGCAGAAATTGAGCCGAAAGTTTGCCATATATATCATGTAACATGATAGGTACAAGAGTTTACAACCAGACCTGATTTCCCATTCGTTGGTGCTTCCTTGGAGCGTAGAGAATTGTCACGGAGAGTATATGCACTTCAAATCAAGTAGTAGTAAGTAGGGGCAGGGGCGAAATTTGCCCAGTTCGGGTGAACCTTCCTACTAGTACAAATCAACCATAGAGCACTTGAGAAAACCCATGAGAAGTGAGATGGTGCAAAGCGTGAGTACCTTGGGAGAGCTGTTCATAGAACATGATTTAGGATACAATTAACATCAGTACAGAGTAGTTTAGTTGATTTTTGCATCGAGGCAGTTCGCTCTTGCCAACCGAACTCATCCGATCCGGGCCAGCGGAATGACCACTTATTCTGTTGAGCCATGATACTTAGTACTGTACACTCGGAGCACAGAAGAGTGGATCGGGCACTCTACCTGCAGTGGATCGACACTGGCTAGCAACATTTATCTTTTTTTTTTTCTCGATTTCTTTTTTTCCAAAACCCATTCACTGTCGCGATCACGGAAACATCCAAGCTCTGATAGCCACGGTCGCGATCAGAAGATGGTGATTCGAAGGGAGACGTCACCTCCCAGCCAGCCGGCGATATCCGGAGTGCATTCAGATGCAGCTCGAGGACCGAGCGACAGGGTGATCTGCAGTCAGGTTTTCAGGATAGCTCCCGCACTAGTCGAAGAAAAGGGCAAGAGGGTTGTAGATCGATAGCTGCTAGCTCCACGACTGGCGTACGACAGCAGCTGAGGAAGAAAGATTGGAAAAGCAAAAGCATCTTTCAGCTCCATAGCTCCCCTAGCGATTGTGCAGCACTGCAGCACTGCAACTCCTCAGCAATCCCAGCGTCCCAAACTGCGGCATAATTCGGGCGATCTCGCCTAAAGCTCGGTGGGGTAAGATCTTCCGACCGGGGCCAGGTTTATCTAGCAGGTAAATGAGGCTTTTTACCTATCCTGGACAATTCTCCACATACGATGTTGACCGATGGCAGACAGCGATGGGCAAAATGACAGCTTGCAATCCATGTTTTGCCATGGAACAGACGGGCCGGTGCCGCAACGTACCAGATTTCATTACTAGCTCCAGATACAATGAACAGCGGTGAACACTGAGAACCTTCGATTGTGGATCCTAACCGAGCGTAAAAAAAAAGAGAAGGAGAAAGAAGTCTGCCTCGGCAATCAGTGTCTTCCGAGAGCCTAAAGGTAAAGCTCAGCCTAGAATTATGGATATTTCTAGAGCTATGAGGACTGGGGAGAAGGTGAATATTTCCGAGCGAACCGCGCGAACCCCCCACCGATGATCTTCTTGGACGCCCCCATCTCTTCCACAGCTAAAAATGATTTCCGATCTGATTTACGATACCGTCATCGTACCGTACTCGATTGTCCCTGTGTACGGCACGGTGCTTTCCTTGACCTGCATGTGTCTCCAAACTTTAGGAGGAATTATGGTGATGGTAGGGAGTAATGTAGGCATGCTACATTGAAATCTCACTTTCACAATGGAATTTCACTTTCAATTGATGGATTCTTAACATTGAAATGTAGAAGAAAATGATTTCCCGGGCTTCGACATGGGACTGGTATATGTACAGTACTTGAGCATTCTCAGGTGCCAGGAGCTCCAGTCGGAGTGATGCGACCCTTGGCGTAGATAAGATGCTCACCACCGGAGTGAGGGAAAGCAGTATTGACGAGCTGGTAGATATGATCCCATTTGATCATGGCATGGCAGACCTAGTTAATTGCATTTGGTGGTTAGCACACTGAGATCAGCCTGGATGCTTCATGGTTTTAGGGCTACTTACTCCCTTCTCAGGCTCCCCGCCGAAGCTCCTCCATCCCACTCCCAAGCAACGTGGATTCAAGGCACATGCTTCAGCACATTCCAGAATCGATTGGCGATACCACCAGATCTCTTCAACCGCTCCGTTGGTGCGGACATTACATTTGACCTGGAAATCCACCCCGCCAAGAGTAAACTGTCGTTGAGAACAGGTGCCATCGCAGAGACTTCTCCAGCTGTTGCTGCGACACTTCTCATCGACCGACAGCCACTGACCACCACCAGTGCCACTCCCCACCGACGAGGCCTTTTCTTCCAACTCCTTGATCTTCTGCTGGAGGCCTGCCTTTTCGGCGTCACACTGGGACTTGGACTGCTGCAGCTGGCTCTCGCCCTGCTTGCGGATTTCGTCCTTCTCCTTCTCACATTGAGAGGCGGCGGCGTCTTTCTCGGACTTGCATTGCGATCGAGCATCATCAACCACCAACTTCTGAAGCTGATCCTTCTCCGTGGCACACTGAGCGTTGGCGTTGGTGAGAGCGCTGTCTTTATCAGCCTGACACTGCTGTAGCTTGCTGTCACCCTGCTGGCGAATTTCATCCTTCTCTTTCTGGCACTGAGAGCTGGCAGCCTCCTTGTCGGCCTGGCACTGCTGTAACTTGCCGTCGCTCTGCTGGCGAATTTCATCCTTCTCTTTCTGGCACTGAGAGCTGGCAGCCTCCTTCTCAGACTTGCACTGCGCTTCTCCTTCCTGTCGAAGCTGCTCCTTCTCGGTCGCACATTGTTGGTTGGCGCCCGCGAGCGCTGCCGCCTTGTCGGCCTCGCATTGCTCTGCGCTGGCGGTGGCGCCGTTGGCGAGTTCGGCCTTCTCAGCTTCGCACTTGGCTTTCTCCTCCCCACGAACCTGCTCCTTCTCGGTCGTGCACTGCTCCAGCGCCGCGGTCTTGTCCGCCTCACATTGGGATGCCGCGGTGGCGGCCTGTTCTTTGAGTAGAGCTTTCTCGGCTTCGCATTGAGCCTTGGCCTCCGTGAGAGCGCTGGCCTTGTTGCTCTCACACTCCTTCTTCTGTTGTTCCTTCTCCGAGGCACACTGTGCAGCGGCAGTCTCTTTGGCCGCATCGATGAATTCCTTGCAATCCTCCTCCGGATCGGGATCCTCGGGGGTCTCCGCCGACTTGGTCAGGACCATCCAATCCCTTGCCGGCGAGTAAGGAGCATAGTCGGTGTTTCCGCTGCCTAGCACGAAACACTTCTTTCCGGTGCTGTGCCAGGAGGCCCCGGGACAGTCCGGACTCGAACAGAGCTGTGCGCAGTCCTTGGCACTGTTCACCTGTCGGTGCTGCGTGCCCGCGCCACTTTTGCCGGTGAGATACTGGCCGCAGGTGAACTCAAAGACGGAATCTCCCACGGTTCCTTTTCCGGAGCCTCGGCCTTCAGGACAGCAGAGTTGGTAGTTGGCCGCCCCGACCGTGTTGGAGGATAGACATTTGGAATTGGAGCCGCTGCTGGCCACCGTAGTGCCTAGCAAGGCGGCAAAAAGGGCGCCTTGAAATAGCATATCACCGTCACTCTTCTTGCACAGTAAGAGAGCACAGGTATAGAGTTGAATTTAGAGCAAAAGAAAGATAAGTTGGTTGTGGTAGGTATAGGGTGTTCGGTGATTACTTTATAAGAACGGAGAAGACTATGTCATAGGCTGTGAAAGGCTGCACGCAATTTCGCCAAAGCAAGGCTTTTCCAATTCAGCTTGACCTAAAATCCCATGGGTCTTCCTCTGCCATTAACCATCAGGAGGGCTGATAGCAGACTCCCGTCACATCCATACAATCATCAACAATACACGGACTTCTACAGTACGTATACTTCGGATGCTGATCCCTTGAAGATCTCCACAGCTACTGCACAAGTCACGGAGCAATGACCAAATTCGTCAGCTCAATCTAACCGAGGCGATCGATGCGCGCGGAGCATCTCGGGGGGGGGGAGGGCTTTGGCAGCCAAGCTAGTTCGATCAATCACAGTGAATCACTGTTCACTAATGAGGATTTTGGCTGGCGCTAAGGCAGGTTCGCTCCGCCCCGGCTTCGGTTGACGCCCCACTCCCGTCCATTCAATACCACCAATACCTTGAATACCATCAGGATCATCGATACCCTGCAAACACCCAAACTTGAGCTGCAGCATTTGAGCGATCACATCTGATTTAGCTTCCATCGTGTCGGGACTTTTTTCCTCCATGCTCGCCCTTCACTGTCGATCACAGATCACATCCTGACGTCCCGTCCCCACTCTGGCCTTTCCTCGAGAATGCTACTTCAAGCGGAGCTGACTTTAATTCACCACTTCAGCTGAGCCCACAGCTATCCACTGCTCTTTTGGAGTTGGACTAGTTGATCGGTGTAGGATCTCATCGCTTTCACGCAGAGACAGATACATACACCGCCAGCTCCCCATTCCTAGAACCGAAGTGATCGGCATCTGATCCACTGGACTGAGTGGCTCAAGCTGAAATGAGGCGGAGATGCAAATCCGATCAGTATTGGAACTGATTACTCCGTACCAGGCGCGGAGTGAAGCCAAAGAGAATCCATCATCGCTGCGAGGAGAATCATGGTATAAATACCCGCACTGCCCGGTGGCTTCCTGCCTTTTATCATCCTCACCATCTCTTCTCTCCATCTCCAACTTCCTTTCCCACTACAGCCACGCATCATGGCTAAGTTGGGGTCTTTGTTGGCCGTTCTGGTGGCCCTGAGTGCTGCCCAGGTCCAGGCCAAGCTGCCCGGCAAGACCAAGTATACTCTGGACGACATCCGTCCTCTGCAGGACCCTGCCTCCGGCTTGGTCAAGTGTTGTCCTGAGGGAACCGAGTTCGATGGCAAGAACTGTGTCTTGGGCGTTCCCAACTGCCCGGAGAACTTTGTTCGCAAGGGTGACAAGTGTGTGTCGACCATCAAGCCCATCTGTCCCGATGGCAGCGACTACAAAGGCAGCATCTGTGTCTCGACCGAGCTTCCCATCTGTCCTCCTCCCACCGTGCTGAAGGGCAAGACCTGTGTGACTGGTCCCCCAACCTGTCCATCGGGACAAGAGTACAACGGTAAAGTCTGTCAATCCACCCAGACCCCCGGCTGCCCGGAGAACTACAAGTTCAATGGCAAGTCCTGCGTCAGCACCAAGCAGCCCGAATGCCCTCACGGCATGATCACCTGCGGCGGCAACTGCATCAGCGTCCAGCCCCCCATCTGTCCCGCCGACACCGAGTTCCACGACAACTTCAAGAACTGCGTCTCGACCATCCGCCCCACTTGCGAAGACGGCACCGTCCTCAACAAGGATGGCGTCTGTGTCGACGAGGCCGGTCCGTCGTGCCCCCCCGACACCAGCTTCAACCCCACCACCGGCAAGTGCGTCACCTCCGAGAAGCCGGCCTGCCCTCCCGGCAGTGAGCTCGACCCGGTGACCAAGAAGTGTGTCATGACCGAGGAAGCCACCTGTCCCCCGGGCAGCGACCTCTCCGCCGATTTCGCCTCCGGCACAGCCCGCTGCTGTCCCTCCGACATGATCTGGGACGGCGAGGTCTGTGTCTTCGACACCGATGAGACCGGCAAGTGCCCCCCCGGCACGACCAAGGTGGGCCAGCACTGCCAGAAGCAGCCCGTGCGCATCCCGCAATGCCCGCCCGGCTCCAAGCTGGAGCGCAACCGCTGCGTCAGCATCGAGCAGCCCGAATGCCCTCCCGGCCACGTCCTCGAGGGCGGCGTCTGCACGTCGACCGAGCAGCCCGCCTGTCCCCCCGGCCTGACCCTCACCGGCAGCGTGTGTATCTCTACCGAGGAACCCAACTGCCTGCCCGGCACCCGCCTTGAGGGCACCATCTGCGTCAGCATCGAGCAGCCCGCCTGCGAGGACGGCTTCACCTTCAACGGCGAGAACTGCGTGTCCGAGCTGCAGCCCACCTGCACGGAGGAGGGCAGCACCTTCGACGGCGAGGACTGCGTGACGCCGCACTTCCCCTCGTGCCCGGAGGACACGGTCTTCGACGGCGCCCGCTGCGTGGCCACCAGCACCCCCTCGTGTCCCGCGGGCAGCGTCCCCAACGGCTCCGGCGACTGCGTCACCACCAGCGTGCCCAAGTGCCCCGCGGGCTCGACCCTGACCGCCACGGGCGGCTGCATCGTCGGCGTGCCCACGTGCCCCAAGGGCACCCTCTTCGACGGCAAGCAGTGTGTCTCGCGCAAGAACCCGGGCTGCCCCGCGGACCACAAGTGGGTGAACGGCCGCTGCATCAGCACCGTGCCCCTGGAGTGCAACGAGCCCGGCTACCACCTCGTCGACGGCGAGTGCGTCTCCGAGAACCGGCCCGAGTGCCCCGCCGGCACCAGCTTCGACGGCACCACCTGCGTCGGCACCGAGCCCCTCTGCGACGACGGCCTGGTCTTCGACGGCGAGGAGTGCGCCCACCCCTTCGAGCCCGAGTGTCCCCCCGGCATGCGCTTCAACGGCCGCAAGTGCGTCGCTGAGAAGCTGCCCAACTGCCTGCCCGGCACCGTCTTCGTCCCCGAGTCCAAGCTGTGCGTCGCCATCTCCCCGCCCGCCTGCCCCCCCGGCCAGGTGTTCAATGGCAAGCAGTGCGCCCTCGAGAGCGGCGACTGTCTGAACTTCGAGTACTGCCCCCCGACCGGCTTTGGGGAGCCCAACTGCGTCGAAGGGACGCTTTATGATCGTCACACCGGCATGTGTGCCGACTGGTTGTATTAGCTTAGGGTGCTTTGATATGTGATGCATGGTTTATGTGGCAGGGATTTTGGGAAAGGTGTTGTAATCGAGTGTTTTGTTCAATGTGAATTTTATTATAAGCTAACGCTTCTTTGACCAAAGAAACGTAAAATCGCGTACCTCTGGCTGGTGAGTGCCGAGTCCTCTACGGAGGGAATGCTACGGACCCAGGCCAGATGGTTAGAATCTCGATCTCCCCGCATAGAGCAAGCCAGTATGTACAATGTCTCCGGGCATATTTCGAGCGATACATATCTATGTTCTAGGCTTGCCGTTTGCTTCCGATGATGATTTCTCCCGGGAAAAGAGCGAGAGATTCGGAAGTCGAGTCTAAAGGACATGCCAAATCTGCATTATTTCTTCATGAATCTATCTTGCGCAGAGACCTGAGAAAGAGAAGTTTACACGCAGGATAAAGAAAGACTTCGAGCTGCGCTCAAGATGTCAATCAAGTCCGATGCAGGTTCCCCGCCCTAGAAACTGTTCTTGGGCAGCCACATATGCAATTATTAGAACTCCTTTACAGGATGCACCGTTTCCCAAATAGAACCAAGGAGCCGTTCAATGTGTGAAGTGCATCCAGAACCTAATCGCCCAGGGTAAGTATAAGGCGTGTAGAACCATCACGATCGGCATCGATCGATGATCGATGGTCGAGGATTGCAGCGCCTTTACCCCCCCCTTGAATTGGTAGCACGCGCAACACGCCACCTTCTCCTTAAGATCGTGCGATTGCAAGACCGTTGCTCGATCTGGGGAAACGTGCCCATGGGCTCAGTCAGACGAGTTTGACGGAACAATGAATAGGCCAAGGCCACGACCCTTGCTCCTCTCATCTCGCGGGCATGCTCAGCCATGAGCCATGAGCCATGAGCGAAGAATCGCGCGTCTTTTGGCTTACTAATCCAATAGGTGAAGCAGAAAAGGACACCGATCGCTTTGTCGGAGCTGTTGTCAAGTTGTATTAGCTGGTTTTACTTGACAAGACTCTTAAGCTATCCTCACGCTGCCAAGCTGAGGATCTACATGGGATGTTTTCAAGATCCCTCCGTCGCGCCTTAGCCGCCGCCAGTCACTTTTAACCACTCATGCTGAAGATAATTATGAATGACTACCAACTTACCTGAATGCATGCGAGTCTAACACGACGTGACCTATAGAAAGCGCCAGAGTCTGCCGCAAACATGTTGTATATTCTCTGTGCTAGCTTCTATTGTTGAAAAGGAGACGGGCTAGAAGTTCGCGCCTAAACTACCTTAAATTGTATCTACACAGCGTTCCGCCAAAGGCTATAGTGATGGTTCCCCCGTGATTGGAGCCGCGGAGAATATGGCGTTACGACGCATCACCTCGGGGATCCTGTGAGGGCAAATCGTTATTGGCAACCCAACCTTCGAGACTACTATTATCTTTGACCATTCATTGAAGCCAAAGACTACCTCGCTACATAACCCGAAGGGAAGGAATGCCCTTGACACTGAAAAATCTCATTGCTTTTTACCTCTGCATTTGCATTACAGCATGGGGAAACCCCGAGACCCAGGGGTGGGGGAGAAAACCCATACCAAGGCTTGCGGAACGAAAACTGGACATGGACTGTAATACAGTGCAAAGGAATGCCACCGATGATTGAGACACCACGCATATCCCCCGACCCCGCAGCAACACCCGATTTCAAAGTCCAATGTTCCCGGCTGCAAAATGAACTGGAAGCATTCGGAGAGGACACTTTTCGTTGATAAAAAAAGGGGGCCCGTCAACCCAGCGGGAATGCCCAAA